TTTATGAGGTCGATATTTCCAAAACCTCAGATTTAGATTTAATATTCTATATATATATATATATATATATATATATATATATATATATATATATATATATATATATATATATATATATATAGAGAGAGAGAGAGAGAGATAGATATCACATAAGAAAGACAATCGATACAAATAATAAACTTGCTCACTATATAAAATATGATGTAGAAATCTGCTTGTTTGAGAAAAAAAAATTTAGAAAACTAACGCATTGGAGCAGCGTGGTAATTTTTCCATAAGCTTATAAGTTATAACCCTCCCAGAAATAAGAGGTACATTTAGGGCTAACTTAAACTTACATAACTTTACTGTTGTTTTATTAATAATAAAAAGAAGCATTTCCTGAAAAAAGGAACCGGTCAGTACTATGTCTATATAACGTTACGCTTATTCCAAAATGAAATACACATGTGTCCTTGACGTCATGAATAGATTCATTTGAATTACATACTATGTAGGTACTTCAACTTTTTACAGTAGGTACCACTTGTATTATGTAGTATGTTCCGGTCATTTGTAAATATATTTAACTGTAGGTTTCATAATCGCATATATATCCAATATTATAATATCAAAATAGATGGTAGGTATGATTTGTAACAGTAGGATAACATTATTTAATCTCTGCAATAGGTGGCTGATAGTAATAATGTTTACTAGTGAATTTGTTGGTATCTACAATGGAGTACCTACCCTCAAAAATAGGAAACATAAAAAATTATTCTTGTTCCAATTAATAAACGAACTATACAGTAGACCAGTCTAGATAATGTGATTAAAACAAAACCTGAAAATTTTAAAGAATTATTTGTTCAGACGTCCTATGTAATGACGTGAGGTATTAAGAGCAGCGCAAGGTGAGTTGACCAATTATGCCATATTACAACTAAATTACACGTCCGTATAGCCACTGTTTGTCTACTAGCGAACAAATTAAAACACTGCCTACGCGAACGTACATTGTTTATACCTACCGCGATCCTCAGAATAGAGTGCCTAAATGCAGTTTTATTTGTAAATTGAATGTCCAATCTGTATGCAGATGCCTATCGTCTATATTTATATTATCATGAACACAGGCACTTGCCTATATTGTATATAATCAATTGAGTTGTGCGTCATGCCAAGTTTGGTTAGTGTGTTTGTGTTTTAAAGCAAAATAAGATTACCTTAAGGCTGCCTCTTCACCAGGATCGTTACCACTCGCGGCGTGAATTGCGCATTAATTTATCCCTTATAGAAACTGTTTCCAGAAAGAGGGCACACAAGAAAGACCAGCCGACGCGGCGGCGCGCGGCAGAATCGCGCGGCCTCGACCTTGGCCGTCAAACCAGCGCATGCGTCCCGCGTCGCCCCCGTCGCTTCTCCGCCAATTATGTCATTATGTGTATGTTTTCTGCTGTTGTGTTTCCAAACACAGTCTCGGTCTACTGGAGATGGATCCTGATTTCTAACATATTTGCTCCTGGTATTTTAAATAACCTATAAAACTATGAGCTCTGAATGTAAGGCACATGTGTTTAATAAGGAAATAAAATGCCATACATATCGAGGCATAAGTACACAGTAAACGTTGATTTGCGTTTACTTCTTTGTATTAGATAAATAGATATTTTATGTACGTCATTCACTTTAGTCATTTGGATTCAAAACAAGCTTCCAATAAAAAACTAAAACGCTAAAGCCAACTTTAAAGAAATTCATGACGAGTTTACTAACAAATAGGTATAAGTAGGTAGGTAATTGTTCTTTTAAGTTGATAGGTATTTAGATTTAAGACTAACTATTCGCAAGATACCTAATTGTTTAACTTTCATGAATATTTACAATTCATTTCTCTTTTTTTTCAATTTCATTCCAACTGTAATTATATTTTTTTTAATTCTTATATTTTTTCGCAAAACATCAGCGAAAAAAGTTCATCATCATCATTACCAGCGATGCAAAATGTTCTTATTATTGTCATATTCAAATGATGACCAAATATACAATAAAATTAAATAACAAGCTGTTATACATTTTACTTTAGAAAATAAAGTACTTGTACCGTAGCACTATAAACCTACTATTATTTATTATGTGCTTGTACCTCTTAGTTGTGGAGTCCACAGTCCACACGTAATGAATTTAGGTAATGCTAACATCACGCGTCAATTTTAAGTAACGTAACCACATCGGTGATATACCTGGAGGAATAAGATAAATTATGTTATGCGCTCATGTGAAAAAACTAGAAGTACTATGTATACTAAAAAATACTGATAAAAGACTTTGAAAAGTATTTCTTGTGAAAAATTATTATATGTAGGTAGGTATAATTAGATCCAGATACTGTGATATTTAAAAACCAAGCAAATATTATAAAAAAAAATTATGTCCGATTTTATTATTCGCAATAACTTTTAAATAAGATTGAGGATTATATTTTGTAAATGTATTTTAAACTTTATGGTTATGAAATCTTTTTTGAGGTTTAGTCAAAGCAATAAAGTTTTATGTACAGTGCCATCTATTAACATCTTCACAGACTCTCAACAATATATAGTTGTTCATCACTGATGGGGACGCTTAGACACCTTTGTCGTTATAAACTTATAGGTGACGACGCTAGATGGCGTGATGTTATAATGTTGATTTTTTGTTTTAGATTAAAAGGTCTCTGCCCACTACACCGTATCATACCATGACCGTGCTAGGAACGTGTCAGGCAAATAAACATTATTTGTATTGAAAAGTATGACACTGTTCCCACTAGACCGTTCCGTCACCGACCAACACATGACAGTGAGAATATTTTGCCGGTGTTGACACGCTCTGTGCATGACACGCGACGATGCCTAGACGCTGCGCACAGGCGGCAAGCAGGCGAGTATACGGGTTGTAAACGCGTATGATGACCGTTATATAGGCGTGGTGATTTTTTGTTTTCTTCTTCTTCCTCATCCAATATTAAAGCAATCATCGCCAGTAGTCTAACAGTTAATTTTCTGATAGCCATAGCTATTTTACAGTTTAAAAATTTGGTAGCACTCCAAGATGTCCACGCAACACTGTTACGCATGCCAGAATGAAACAGATTCCTATAGGTTTTGGTGGATGTTGCATACGGGCATCATACGGGTTACATACGGGTTGCATACTGGCATCATACGGGATGTATACGGGCACAGAACGCCGTAGATCCGTTCAGTGGGCATAGTAGAGCGTATCGTGTTGCTTTTCATGCCTGATACACTCTTAGCACGGTCATGGTATGATACGGTGTAGTGGGCACAGACCTTTCAACGATAAATTTATGACGGAGACGAAAGAGGTTGAAGTTCACGAGATGCTATGTGACCACTGTTCTCATGAAAACTTGTAGTTAAATTCGAAACTAAACAGATAATGATACGTAGTATAAACCTCCTCAGACAAAAATGATACCTTATTAGCTGATTATTAGCTGATAGTAAGATGGATCTCTTACCCAATGAACTTTACCTGGGAATTTAATATATTTCGTTTCTTGCATTGTAAACAAACAAAAAATAAATATGGGCCTAGGACGCTGCCTTGTGGTATTCCAAAATTGATATCAACCCAGTTAGTTTTATGCTACATCAACAATTAGTACAATAAATTAACTTACTAAAAGTGTTAGATGTGGTAGGTACTTTGTTTTGTACTTCGTACGCCTATATATAAACCTGTAACACAGGATTTTTTACAAAAACCTACTTCAGGCACCAGTCTCTCACAAAGCTGAAACTAATTATGGCAAATTGTTAATCTAAAAGTACTATTTGTGAAGAGAGAATAAATGGTATATTATTATTATTTTCTACCCTACTTTACTTTCAACTTTTTTAAAATTATGTAATTATTAGTAAAAAAACCAAAAGACTGATTGAGTGGCCAAATGTGTCAGTAAATTAGATTTTTCATTATTAATCGAGATGGTATGTTAATCGTTTACTGCGATGGCCTAAAACAGCGTTTGCAACTGTCAGAATAAAAAAGAGTTTAGCTATCTTACGGTTGATTTTGGTTATCTATCATGACTAATATTTTATTACAAGTTCATTTTTATGCGTATTCTGGTTTGATAACGCAATGATTGTAAATTAAATTCCCATATTCAAAAATAATATGAAGTGATTTTTTTATATTTATGGGAAGGTTACAAATTGTAGCATGACACTGTTTTTTTTTTTTACGGATTTTACTGTGTTTAATGTAACCATAGACTAATATATAATACTGGAGAATGTAACTAACTTATTTTTAATTTTTAACGTTTCTGGTGCTATATCGTCTCCACCCTCAAGGGGGGATGGGTGCTGTAAAGCACCACATACTCGAATGGTCAGAAATTAAAAATAAGTAAAAATTATATTGGCTCACGTAGTCTTCAAACCAGAACATACTTAGCTGCATAAACAGTTATAAGGTGGTATTAACAGCCGGACTTTTAAATAGAAAAGAGCTTCAATTTTTTTAATTAATATTTTCTCTAATTTATACATTTTTTGTTCATAATTTTTTAAACATATCGTCACAAAAAACTGACAACTGACGGGAAGAAAGTTTCTCGTGTGGTAGCCACAATCACAAAGTAAAATGGTCTTAACGGTCCCAGGGGAAAAGGACGATAGACACTCTTTCATGTAAAACTCCGTTTAAGTCACTAATATGTTTGCACACGTACAATTACAAGTACGGAGAAGCAGAGTGTGTGCGTGAAAATAATAAAATAAATCGTCAAATATTTTATAATTTATTATTAATATTACATACGTTTAATATTTTTTAAAGAAAAATTAAAGCGATAAAGCTTACATTTCTAAAATTGTTTATTAAGTGTGGGCGAAGTAGAATGTTTTAGCACACCTTTTATCAGTTTCAAACAAATATTTACATGGTTTTCAATTAGCCAAAATTAATTTATGTACATAAATAAAACGAAGTATATTTTAAACTTAAAATTTAACAACTATTTTATTCGGGCAAATTAGATTTTCTTGCATGAAGCCTCCATTTTCTACCCCACTGGTTTCAATGTTACGATGCTGATAATTTTCTTTTATTTTTGGTTGATTATCTTCTGATTTCGGTCTAGAATTAAAAAATATTTTATTATAATATTTGGTCTTCACTGTCGAACATTCTTTATAATGTAATTTGATTGCTAGCAATCCGGACTCGGATATTGACGGTGTTTCACCCATGACTCAGAAAGCATGTAAAGCCTTTGTAGTAGTGTTGTACTTGGAGTCGTGTATTTGACTCAAGCACTGTATTTCTTTGCCACGTTGCTTTTATTATATCCTCCATCTTTACAGCCTATTGAAGTTCACTGCTGAAACTCCCCCATAGCTTGTCTCGTAGGATGGATATTTGATAGTTGCCACTCTTGGCAAGCTGGTTGGCAACCGCAGTTTTTTTTTATTTTTAGTCGTTATTAAGAAGACGTTGCTGTCCATCTCTTGATTTGTTACCAAAGAGATTTAAATATATAGTTACTACTACTACTTAAATGTCTTTGTTTGTTACCCACGGGATGATAGGGGGCAGAGGATATTCTTACACACGATAATTGTATAATATGGACATTTTGAGTAATTTTAGAAAACATGTGTGCAGTTCACACGGAGTAGAAGTGAAACCTTAAAATGAAATGAAATATAAAACTAATGATTTATTTAATGTGATAATTTTTAACCACAAATGTGTGGCAAAAAATATAAGATAAAAGTTTAATTTTATAGCAAATAAATGTCAAACATTCCATTTTACAACATCCTTATTTTTAGACGAAATTTTAGTATAATAAATTAAAATAATATTTTCTTTCGAAGAAAATTGCTTTGTAATAGCGCCATCTACTTTATTCTATAGGTAAAGTCATTTTATCGAACGAAAATTGATTGACTTTCGTGAAATAGATGCTAAATGACCTGAAGTTATAAAATCGTGGATCAATCCACGATTTTATATCTTCAAATTGTGAATTTTTAATCCACGATTTTATAACTTCAGGCCATTTAGAATTAAAGGATTAATATATTAAGATAATTTTAGTAAATATTCGTCGTTATCTTCACGCACAATCCCTGACGGGGTAGCCAGAGAGAACAGATAGCCAAGTGTCACGATCCTTACATACCTCTTTCGCTTCTTTCAGATTCATTATCTTCTTCAGATATGCACGTCTAGGTATCCGAGTACTCTTGACCCTCCCCTCTTCAAGCAATTTGCTCACATGGTCTTCGAAAGTTAGTCTCGGTCTACCTCGAAACCTTTTAATATTTACTTTCGCGCTATATATTTTCTTCACCATTCGGTCTTCACTCATTCGCTCAACGTGCCCAAACCATCGAAGCACGCCCTTATCAATTTTTGGAATAAGGTCATCTTTCAAACCTGCCATATTGCGAATCTCTTCGTTTCGCTTTCGGTCGGCCATGGTAACGCCGCACATTTTACGAAGAGATCGCATCTCCACTGCATCCAACTTACTTTTATGCTTCTTCTGGCATACCCAGGTTTCGCTGCCATATAACAAAGTCGGTACCAACACTGCGTTATGTATTGCAAGGCGTGAACTCTTCACTACGCCTTGCCTTTTGACTAACGCAGTCAGGGCACCATTGACTTTGTTCCCGGCAGCGACTCGCCTTTACACATCTAAATCACATCTTCCATCCCGGCTGAAAGCACTCCCCAAGTATACAATTTCATTTACCTGTTCTAGAAATTCCTGATTTACCCATATTTCACACTTCGTTCTCTCTTCGTCCCTTTCAAATACCAGAACCTTATATGTGTGTATGTGTGTATATGTATTTATAGTAGTATTTAGTTATATGTATGTTTGCATGGATATATGTTTTTATTATCTTTACTTTATGTTAAGTATATTAATATTATAAAATTTTATTATGAGAGTGCACACTAGATCAGCTTCTCTTTTAATTTGTCCAGTATCAGGCCTGCTGGAAGAAATTTCAATATGAAATAAGCAGTGCCTTTGTACAAAATATCTTTTTTTTCTTCATTGTAACATTATTTTGTGTGTACATAAATTGTTAAATAAATAAATAAATAAACCTTAGTTTTATTAGCATTCAAACGGAGACCTTTAATTTCACATTCCTCTTTCATACACGTGACTAATGCCTGCAGTTCTGCCTCTGATGGTGCAATAAGCAATGCATCATCAGCATACAGCAGACAATTTACTTTACTGTCACCCAATTTCACACCCAAACAGCTATCTTTCAGCTTCTGTAAATAGTTATCGAGATACAGTATGAACAGCCAGGAAGACATGACACAACCCTGTTTTACGCCCGTTTGGACGCTAAACATGGGTGACAGGTCATGCCCTACCCGCACACAGGCTTTACAGTCACAGTAAAGTGACTGCACAGCCCTTAGCAATCTACCATCCACACCATACCCCGGCAACAGTTCCCACATTTTCTTCCTTACAACCTTATCAGATGCTTAGTAAATATGGTTAAATTTATTTATTTAATAAATTTGTTAATTTCTTATATTGTTTAACAGTTAAACTTTATATTAACCATCTTTAAATCATCGCACAAAGAGGAGACCAAGATAATAGGACACACTATATTAAAAAAAAATCTAGCAATAGTGTTTTTTAAAAGACAACAAAAAAAGACAGTAGGAAAGAATGCAATGTAGTGTCGACGTCAGAGAATTCACTACCCCATATCATCCCGTGGTTGTAAACGAAACCATTAATACATTTCGACCCGCGGCTGTTGAATTTGGCTCGAAAGCATGCCGCTAAGGAAAATGTTTAAATAGAAAAAATGCCATTTAGTAACAGCGTAAAAAAGTCCAATATCCTATATCAACCGCAGGTGTCGTAAGAAGCGATAAAGGGAAATTAAACAGAAGATGGGCAGCACGTGGAAGAGCCACGCTGCAGCCAAATAAGGGTTGTAGCATGAATGGGTTAGCTCGGCCGAGTACCGAGGGAATCGGCATTTTGATTCTTAATCGAGGATAAATGTCTGTGTCACAGTCCACCTGATGGTAAGTGGATGATGTGGCGCCATTCTCTTACCATCAGGTGGACTGTGTGCTCGTTCATTACCCTTATTATATATAAAAAGCATCTTCTGGATAACAGCTTAAAATAATAAAAACACTCCGGTATCAACCCGCCTGCTAAATGTGGCATTGCTGGCAAATATCCTCCTAAAGCGATCAATGGTGAGATCTATGTTCAGTAATGGATATTTGCTAGGCTGCAATGATGATGATGATGACGAAGGAAGATTTTATGGCTTTCGAAAGGTACGATATTAACCTTTACTCTTGTTAAAGGTGGACTAAAATACCCAGACAGGCAACGAGAAGAATGTGAGACGTATTGCACTGCCAACCAACCAACGTGACTGTCAAACTTAGCTACGTAGTATAAAAGTAATTTTTTTATAGGATAAGGGTAACAAGCGAGCACACAGTCCACCTGATGGTATGTGGTTACTATGCCCATAGACATCTACATCATATATCCTCGATTGCGAAGCAAAATGCAGATGCGTTGTCACCCGTGAGGACCAAGATGGAATGCCTCGTTTCCAGTAAAAAGGGTCTCCGGTTCTCTACACTCACCATACGAAACAAAGCAGCATTAATCTGCTATTTTACGTTATTATTCTGTGAAAGCATGGTCCTACCCCGGTCGAGCCGACCCATTCGTGCTATAACTATACAATTAATATAGCTGCAGCATGGCTCTACCACGTACAAATAGTTCGTGCAGCGGGATAAACCCATGTTGAGCAGTAAACTTTTATCTATCAGTCTAAAAATATGAGAACAGTCACTATTTTTCTTCTCCTAGTCTTTATAAGCACGTAAATAATTGACCGTTGAATGAGCCTAGTGGGGAACTGTAATATTGCATAGTAAAGTTGGTGGGGTCAACCAAAATGCACATACAATATTTTTATGATTGCAGTATATGTATATATAGATGTCTCGCACCTGGTCCACATAAACAACCTGATAGACATAATTTAAAGTTTTTAGCTCTTCAGCAGAAACCACACACGGTTTAATTGCTGGTGGTCTATCAACTACATAAAAATTACTATTGGGTAAATTTATAAATTTATTAACAAATCACTAAATTTGTAATAAACATATAAATTTGAGATAAATCAGTTATACACACTTATTATTTATATCTTATATAATATCAAAATATAATCGTGATAATTTCGTTTTAAATTTGGAAGAGTTATATTTTTTAATTAGGAATGATAATACAATAATAGAAATTGAATGATCGATAACAAGTATGAAGCGAAATTATCTTATGGATTCTTTTACGCCGCCACGGTACGGCGAATTACATTATTTATATTCATGAACATGATATTCATGACATGATCATTATTATGATAATGATCAGCCCGTAAAAGAAGATTTCCCATAATCGCCACACTTGGCAGACGAATTGGCGATCGCTGTACCAAATGGCTTGCACATTTGAGCCGCATTTGAATCGCCTGTCGCTGCTCCGAATATTTAATGTCCCCCCTAAGCGACATGCTTATAACATCATAGTTGCATCACATGGATCCCACCAGACGAAATTTGGCGTTGAATACTCTTAAACCGGTATTCAGACACAATCACAAATTTATGTTTAAATACCACAATGTTCTTTGTGAAACATAATTTGATCTACACTCAAATTTCGGAAATGCAGAGCTTGAGTTAAAACGAGAGGTTATCTTTCAATACCGATCTTATACTACCACCTTACGGCAAACTCTATATAAATTTCTAATACACTGGCAACTTTTGCTTACCTCTGTTTAAAACACAAAGATATCAAGTTGATCACAGGCAGTTCGACCAATATCAAAATAATAAGGGATGCCAAGCAGCCCCAGAATATAACGCCAGCCGTCTGAATAAACTGAAAAGATATATTAAAAAACAAACTTAAAAAGTATCTTCGTGAAAATTACACTGATCGGCGATAAGAGAGCTTAAGTTCGCTATAAAAGAGCAAAAACAATTGTTTTTTAAAGAATATGTTAATTTCGAGTTAAAACGCTATAGTCGAACATCAAACATTAAAAAAAAAGATTATTTATATATTTTGATTATATGTAACTCTGAAACACTATCATTAAAAATCCTTATCAAACAGAAACTCAACAATAAGAAAATACTTACAAAGAAGAAGATATCAGCGTGCTGAGAGACTCTGGCGCTAAAGACGTTGCGAGTGATGATGATTGCGTGTGTGAGGTACAAGCCGTAGCTGAGTCGACTCAGTGGGACCCAAGGGTACCAGCTGAGAAAGCTTTTTAGTAGAGCTGAAAAATTATTATTAATGTAACAACTTTAATGGGTTTATGTCCTCCCTAATTCAGAGAAGGTGAAAAAGGAGAAGAATTCGTTTTGGTGCATATATCATTATATGATATAATATAATTATCTATACTTAATATAATAAAGCGGAAGAGTTTTTTGTTTTTTTGTTCGTTTAAACGCGCTAATCTCTGGAACTACCAGTTTGATTTGAAAAATCCTTTTTATATTATAGCCAGATTCATGTGGAATAGTATAGGCTATCTAGCATTAGGCTATATTACTCAATTAGCCTTAAATATGGATATTTGTTAAGCAAGTCAGAAGAAAAAGCACTCCCGAAATGATTTATCCGCGTATGCTGGTGTTATCGTTAGGGATACGTAAATACAATGTTGTAGAAAAATATAGACCTTTACTCCGTCTAAAAAAAAGTGCGCGATACCATATGTCTATTTCTTATACATAAGCCATAATTTGGTATTTTGTGACAAAAAATATTGAAAATTTAAAAGTGATTTATGATGAATGAAAATTTAAAAATGATTATTAGGCATGGCCTATTTATCCTTACGAACGAAAGTTACTTCATCATCAAGACAGTTTTATGAAGATAAACTTTGTTCTTTATACCATGTTATTTGGACGCATAGTTTAAGAGATAATGTAAAATTAAAATAATTCAATACTGGCTGGGCGCGCGAACGACGCTTAAACCATAGCCGTTATAAAATGCTTGAACTAGGACATGTCGCGCACCTCGGACAGGTTATGACGCGGGTGAAACCGCGGGGCACAGCTAGTATGATATAAAATCTTTTGTTGCGAAATCTACGAATACAATATGTAACTTGATATTGACATAAGTAGGTAATTCTAAGAAAAAATTCTGTTTTTTTATAAAATACGACATAAATTGCCTAATGTAATAAATTGATGGGCTTGATTTAATCTAAAATCTATCATTAAAAATGTTTTTTTTTACTATTAATTTATTTCAGACATGTAAGTTTATTTATTTATTAATACTTTAATGAACAAAAAATACTTTACTGTAAGACATCTTAATCCAAGAAATGCACTTGGCACAATTGTCATGAAAGGACTCTTACTCTAACAGCCAAACTTAATTAAGTAGAGAGAAATGTATCGTCTAAAGAAATTGAAATAAGTTTAGTCGTAGTATGTTTATTAATATTAATTAATAAAAATACTACAAATATGTATATACTATATAGTTGTAGTATGTTTATTGCCTTTCATATATTGCCTGTGTTGTAAAACTTAATTCTTTCCAGTCGATAACAGTAAAATCTTACCGCTAAGTCACGTGTAGTAAGTTGCGAAGCCTTTACTATTGTAATCGCCACTTCGTAGAGTTTTGGTGAAAAAGGATGTTTTGTTTAAAGGTTTGCACATTTCAATTAATCGAAGGACAGTATTAATAGCACTAAACTTGAATATAATTATCACATTTCTAGTATAGCGCGATTTGTTTATGAAATGGAAGCTGCTTTACATGCAGGATGTGTTAATTAGGTTAAAAAAAACAGCACAATTTATAAAATTATAAAAATATCCTTTCGGCCAAATGCGTTTAAGAAAATCGCTAAGTATAACACTTATATCTTTCATAATTTGTTCGTTATACCGTGTCTCTATTCACTAAAGGAATGCGATAGAACGACAAGTACGAATATTCCCTTCGGCAATTTCAGTTTTTTTTTGTAGGACCACCTGATGGTAAGTTGTTGCGTTGCTGTGGCCCATAGACCTCTACATAATATATCCTCGTATATATCGTGTGAGGGCTAAGATGGAATGTTTCTTTTCCAGTAAAATGGGTCTCCGGTTCTCTACGCTCACCATAAGAAACAGCAGCATTAAGCTGGTATTTTAGTCTGGTATTCTGTAAAAAGATAAACTGAGCCCTAGGGTAATTATTCGAAATCTGATCTTGTATTGTACAGGTTTGTTCACTTACGCACGTGTCCCAAACAGCAGCACACAAGCAACAGTGCGGCACTGCTAGCCCACAAAGGACGTTCGATCGCGGCATAGATTGCGGCTCCTATGGGCCCATAGTCGCGCCATACGAATGTAGCACCGTACATCATAATAGCCAGCATCATAACAATACCGAAGCAAGCGCCCAGCACAGAATATTTCTGAAGTTGGAGAAGAATGTTTATCAGTGTCAATAATTTAAAGAAATATTAATAGATATTTTCAAGTTTAAAAGTACCCACTAGAGTTATAAGCGCTCAGTATTACTTAGTTTCTAATAGAAAGTTAAGAAAAATTCTTACCCTTAAGGATGGAGTTGTCAAAATACTGAAACACGTGTCTCACTCTTTGAACAACCTCTAACCCGTAAAGGGTCGTTTTGAAAAATCATTAAATCCGAATTCATTTATTTTATTTACGGAGGACCTTTAGTAAGTTTCGAGCCAATCACGCCGTAAAATAAAAAGTTTCATACAAACTGTAACATCCTATTCCCCCCTCTTAGGGGTTGAATTTTCCAAAATCCTTTCTTAGTGGTTTTCTACATTATAAAAGGAAGCTACTGTCCAAATTATATTAGTAGAAATCTGTTCTGCGTCTAACGATTTGGGCTGTACGTTGATAGATGAGTCAGTCATTCAGGACATCCTCTTTTATATAATAGGTCGGGGAAAAAGTTTCTCCGTATTTTGTATGTACAAAATTGAAGAATAATCTCTTTGGTTGTACTCTTTGTATGTGGCTGGTGTTAATATCAATACAATAGGACATTCAGAAAAAGAAAAAGAAAAATTAAAAAATCACTTTACCACTATTTTTCAATTATTTTTCTGTCCGCCTAACGCAGAAATTAGATACATTCTGAAGTTTTATTACATTAAAGGGAAAAATGCGAAGAAAAAATTGTGACGTTTATAGACCGAATGCAGTGTCAGTAAGAGTAGCACGAAGTTGGTTCAAGCGTTTTCAGTCCGGGAAATTTGATGTCAAAGATGCAGCTGGCTCTGGTCGGCTTCATACGGATAAAGTCGATGCCGGTTTTGAAAAAGTTGAGCCATATCGGCATATTAGTAGTTACGATATAGCTGAGTAAATTAAATGTAATTAAACTTTGAAAAAAAAAAATGTCTTGAATTTGTATATGAATTACGAAGAAACTTTTTCCCCGACCTTTTATATAGAAAAATGGTTGATAATATCGTAACAGGCGACAGAGGGAAATAAATCAGGAGATGGGCAGCGTCTTTATTGTGGTTGCCAACCCGCTCGCCAAGAGGCCTAAGTTCAGAAATGGAATTTAACAGACTGTAACGGTAACGGTTATAGCCTATTAAATTCCATTGCTGAGCAATAACCTCTGCGTATAAGCACAGTACAAGAAGTATGAGCTGGTCGCTTCCAAGTTGTTTCAGCATCATCATTATTCATCATCATTACAGCACTTTACAAGTCCACTGCTGAACATAGGCCTCCTCCAAGGAATGCTACAAAGCACGATCTTGAGCCACCTGCATCCATCGATTTCCTGCATGTAACTCCATCTAGTGGGGGGACGCCCTACACTTCGTCCGGCGGTACGAGGCCGCCACTCGAGATCCTTCTTTCCCCATTGGTTATCGGTTCTTCGAGCTATATGGCCGGATAAAACTTGCTCCTGGATCGTTACTCAGACTTGCGTAGTGCTCCAACGATGATGTGCACAGCTGCCCATAGAACCTCTCAATTTAACTCAAAATCTCAGATGTTCCGGAAAAACGCTGCTACACTCGGTCTGTAGCTTCGACTGTTGGCTCTTTCTGGAAGACCGATTTCTAGCAAAGACTTTGGAGCCCTGCTTCCGCTCGATCGCTCTTCAATACGAGCAGTATCAAAGTTGCGTAAGTACCGCCGCATGCATTTGGAGATCTGTCTGTTCAGTTGACTGTACGCTGTCAAATCTACTGAAGACCCAGCTTCATTTCCCGTCTAACAGCCATGAGGTTCAGAGTGTGATCGGTGAGGTTTTGTGTTCTTCTGCGGCGGGTCTTGCAAAACTTGGCTCCAACCGCATGGACAGTTTCCACGAGTATGTCATTCATATCGTCCACTGCATTGTAATCTTCTAGACACTGAAAACGGTTTTGTAGCTCGAGCTGAAAGGTTTCGGGACTTTGAATAAGAGCACGATGCGGACGGAGCGTCAACTTCATTAGACGTGACCTCTCCAACTTAACGTTTAGGTTCAGTGTGCCTCTCACCATTCGGTGATCGCTACCGGTTTTCACCCTCGTGATCACTGAGACATCACTGTTGTCGTCTGATCGTCATAATGAGGTCAATCTCAATTTTTGTCGAACCGTCGGGGCTCGACCAGGTTCACTTCCTGTGGGGCCGCTTCTGGGAGAAAGAGTTCATCATAAAGGGTCCCTCTTTCTCCATGAAGTTGGCCAGCTGCTGGTGCCTCGGGTTCCGTTGCTCTATTCCAAATTTCCCCACCTTCAACTCACCGTTTTCTCTTGTGTCTAGTTTTGCGTTGAAGTCTCCCATTAACACCGTATAGTAGATTTTGGAGGAATGCATGGCTGATGCTGATGGCTGATGGCCGATGAGGAGGTTGGTGCGTAAACCTGTATGACCTTCAGCGAATACAAAGCCGTTTGGTGATTTTGAGTATAAGGTACGCAACCCTCGTCGATACACTCTCAATCTTTACAACGTTGTTAACGAGAGACTTGTGGACGATAAATCTGACACCTCCTTGGGACAGATGGTTGCCCTCCCTGTGATAGAGCAAGTAGCCGGATTCGAGGATTACCATGTCGTCTCCCTCTCTTCGAACCTCAGATAATCCTATAATATTCCAGCGCAATTTGTCTATCTCTTCTTCCAGCTCCAAGATCTTCTCGTCAGTCCTCGGGGTGCGTGCGTTATAAGTTGCCAGGTTGAGTCGTCTTATGTGGCAACCGAACCTCCACCGGAGATTCTTAGCACCCCCTGATTCGCCGTTGCCATGGTCGCCACCGGTGCCAGGAATAGTGGGACTGCCGGGGACTGGGGGCCATCTCTTTGTAAATTTAATCATGGGGAGTATATTGCCATAGTTGCCACGCTTGGCGAGCGGGTTGGCAACCGCAGGTTTTTTATTGTTGTTTTGCTGTTATAAGAAAGATGCTGCTGCCCATCTTCTGCCTCAGTTTCTCTCTGTCGCCTCTTACGACACCCATGGGAAGATATGGGGTAAGAATACCCACTATTCTTACCCACCACTACACGGGGTTTATACAACCTGTGTTCTTATTGTATAATTTACTTTGAAAAAAAAAAGTCCCGATGGGTTTCTTGCTGGTCCTTCCCAGGACCTCTGTCCTTTTTCCTGAACCAGTAGTAGCTTCTATGCTATTTAATTCTATTGATCTTTAAATTAGATATTTAACACTTGCCTTAGAAATCCTGTTAATGTTGTCTTTAGTTTTATATTTATTAAAAATGAGGCCACTGAAGAAGCCGACGAGATACGAAGCGTAGCGGGTGTGACTTTTGATATAAGTCAAATGGAACTGCTCGAGACTACGAGGATTTGTTAGAAAGCTGAAAATAATATTATTATATGATTAAATAAATATATAATAGCCATGGTAGCTCAGGGTCTAAGCGCCGGCTGTAAATTACACAGTACGCAAATAACGTTGATTCGATCCCCGCCGGTACCAATTAAATAGTTGATTGCAATCTTAGGTGCTGATTTACCACATTTGAGAAATAAAATGTTTTTAAAAATATACGTTGCTTACAAAATTTCTTTTTAAACAATGTTATTCGTTGGTCCGTATGTAGCTAATATATATATATATATATATATATATATATATATATATATATATATATATATATATATATAACACTATACAGTACTTTTTCCGTGATGCGCGCACAACAGCAAACCTCTATCATTTTATTTATATATATTAAATATATTTATTTAATTATATTATTTTTCTGTAAGTATATTAGTACGTATGTGTATATATTTATGTTTATTTACAATATATGTCTAGTTATATTAACATTTTTTTTTGCGCCTACCAACTTTTACTTGTCTAATTGCTCATTAGACAAGTAGTTATATATGTACTACGTACTAGAGAAGTTATTCCAAACAAAAATTGTGCGCTACTCTATGTCTTGTCGCGAAGACTTTAATTTAATATAAAATAAGATATTAATATAAAATAAAAATAAGAATTTAATACAAAATACGCTTACTTTACATAATCTTAACAAACATATGTCTAAATAAAATGTAATAATAATTATCTTATGGAATTCACAAATCTTCAATTAACGCAATATTTAGTTTAGTGTACGGATTGCAGTACAGTTCAGTTGAACATAGTCAATGTTCGGAATGCGAAATCTAGTGCGTAGTACATATATATATATCGATAGTCCGCCCATTGTAATTGAAATAAATAAAATATCTTAATACTAGCGACCCGCCCCGGCTCCGCCTAGATAGGATATATTAATTAGCCATTATTTAGATTTAAGGTAATCAAAGACCATTTATTTAATCAATGTTTTGTTTATTCAATAAATATCTCCAAGTTTTCCAAGTAAAATATTGCCTAGATCACGCCTGGTTTTGCTCTCTATCTGATCCTGAAGTTTCATTACTATCGGTTAAGTCGTGTCGCAGATTAGCCCGGACAGACAGGCAGACAAATATTTTAAAAATGGTTGTTTATGTATTAATGGCATGCGAATAATCACCTCAGGTCAATATAAGGCAGTTATTTCGATACTACTGACAGACACAAACGCAAGTTAATATTCGTCCTAACTTAACCGATGTAACACGATTATAGGATAAGCCAAGAATGTAGCGGTAGAGAAAAGAGAGTGAACGCAGGAATTGCATAATTTTTACCAACTTTAATATAACAGATTTCAATTGCATAACTTAATACCTCCCTCTCCCTTCTACCATCGGACAACCATACTCGACCAGTCTTCATCAACCCTTCCGTTGTCGACGTACCGCGCGTTCGAACGAAGCGGTTTGGTTTATCTTTCGTCATGCATAGAGCAAGGGAGTGGAATAAGTTGCCAGCATCTGTCTTTCTATTCGATTACAATGTGTCTGTCTTCAGGCAAGAGTGAATAGGCTTTCGTTAAGTTAGTTAACAGTAATGGGATAGTGGTCAAGTACTGGCTTAGAATAGTAAAAAAAAATGTTGACAGTTACGATGTATCCAAAACCCTAAAATCAATCAATAACACAAAACATCCGCAGTACTTACAGACTTAATAGGCAGATACTCTAATCAGTACTCTAGTCGGAAAATAACAGTCAGGCCCTGTTCTTTACTGTATTTTACTTACTTTACTAAGAAAAAAAAAATCGTTTTTTTTTCTTTACGGGTAAGAAATTTACGTAGTTTTGCGAAGAATTATTTGGTCTTGAAATTTCTGTTTTCTTCGTGATAAATTATGTAAATTGTGCAATTATGTAAATAGCTAGATTCAAGTAGTACCTATTCATGTTTTAATTATATAATTACTTGCCAGTGTTTGTGTACTGAAGAACAATGGGATAGCGGAAATATTGTGGATTGGATGTAACGCAATTCTGTAACGCGTAATGTATGTGTGTGTTTCTTTTACTACAATACAAGCTGGCGCAGTAGACGTTCTGCCCTTCCGATAGGTGACTCGATCTGATTCACTCCGAATTCACTCCGGATTTTTTAAAGTCTAAATAAACAATTTCACAGCGCCACCTATCGAGTCCAGATTTTTTGACTTTCTGTTTGGCATTTAAGTAATATAATATCGTGAATATGAGTCATTTTGTCCATAAATAATATAGAATTCGTTAACAACTACTTTTCGAAGTAAACATATTTATACGAGGTAGAGCCATGCTGCAGCTATATTAGTAGTATATTGTAGCACGAATGGGTCGGCTCGACCGGGGAAGGACCACACTCTCTCAGAATACCAGCGTAAAATAGCAGCTTAACACTGCTGTGTTTCGTATGGTGAGTGTAGAGAACCGGAGACCCTTTTTACTAGAAAAGAGGCATTCCATCTTTGTCTTTACGGGTGACAACGCATCTGCATTGTTATTCGCAAACAAAGATAGATGTAGATGTCTATGGGCCGCAGCAACCACTTGCCATCAGGTGGACTGTGTGCTCGTTTGTCACCCTATCATATAAAAAATAACACTTCCAATTCATTTAATTACCTGCCAAGTGAGGCCTATGTTCAGCAGTGGACTTTTGATGTTCTGTAAGTAGGTAGTAGTTAGTAGGAGAGTATGTATTGCTCAACTGTCTCCGCAAGACGTGCACAAATTATGGTAATACATAAACAAGCTATATGTATACTCTAAAATAACAGCCTATTAAATTTCACTGTTAAACATAGGCCTCCCTTATCGATCGACTCATTAGGATTAAGATAACTTGGGGTGGAAGATTCTCTTACGTCGACACTAAACGGACAAAATGTCACATATTAATGATGTATCTTATAATATAAAAATTAATCGCTGAATGTGTTGCTACATAAGCGCAAATCTCGAGAGCAGCTGAACCGATTTCGCTAATTCTTTTTTTATAATATTCCTTGAAGTACGAAGATGGTTCGTACGGAGAGAAAAATTTAAAAAATTGCTTGAAAAAGTATAAAAACAACACTTTTCTATATTCCCATACAAAAGATTCGTAATAATACTTAAAAGTCAATTTGAACTTTAATACCATACCATAAAGTTTAAGTGGAGGGGTTCCGGGAAGGTAAAACAATTATAATTTTCATTTTTTGACATAATGTAATTATTGACTTATCAACTTTCTCTTACTAGCTGACCCGGTGTCCCGAATAGCAGAATAAGTGTTAAAAAAAATTAAAAAAAATTAAAGAATCGACTGTTAGGCGGTACGAAGTTCGTCGGGTCAGCTAGTAGTTAATAAAATTATTCTATACTCACTCATAAGTGAAAAGTTGTATAGGAGGAAGTTGATGAAGGTAGTTGACAATTCCTGGCGTTATTATGGCGGCGATAGATACAACAACTGCGCAAGTTATACCTAGTTTTGCGTGCTTTCTATACAACCAGTATAACAGCATTGTGAACGTAAAGAAGTGGAAGTCACAGGGGATGTACCACGAAACGACCATGCACTGAAATAAAATTTTTGATTAAGCATGTTTTGTTTCCCAAAAAATATCAGTTAAGTCTAGAAATTTGAAATACAAAAATATATGATTGGTGGTGAAAAAACTGTGAAGAAGCCTGAATACCCGAGAATAATGTTCTTCATAGGTTTAAGAGGTTACCCCTCGTGAGCCATGAACAAAATAGTTAAGAACGTTTCTTGTAAGTGTCACTTGACCTGTACATGTGATGAGATGTAAAATCACAAGGGTGATTTTTGTAAGAAACTCTGGCGATTGTCTGTTGACAACCAATCAAAAAATACCTATGTCAAATCTTACTTCACAAGTCGTACAAAAGCCATATAAAAACCCTTAAATACCTTAAAATAATTTAAAAGTCATATTTAGGTGATGTTTATAGCTAAAATATTTATAAATTAAACTTTGTGGTAGTAGTGCTTCGTTTTGCTAAAGAGTCCATGTGCTTGACACCATCCAATTAACTATACCTGTCGCCAAGCAACACTCACTGCTGTATTATGTTTTAAAGGATAAGAACTTAGAGCCTGCATAATTTATATAATTAAGTAAGGTATTTCATTTTAGTAATCAGTGGTTTCAAGGCATCTGGAACATTATCTATTTCAGTTTGTTGCAAGTTTATCCCAAGAGCTGCATTATCCACTTACCACAGGTTGGGCATACAGCTCGTTAAAGCTCTAATATACTACTCTTTTGAACCACTATTTTATTTCTAGCTATATTAATTAGTTTTTAACCAACTTAAAAAAAGGAGGAAGTACTCAATTCGACTGTATTTTTTTATGTATTAACCGATTTTGATAATTCTTTTTTTATTTGAAAGCTGGTGCTTTTTATGTGGTCTTATATAAAGATTAAGGTCTGAACAGTAGTTTTTGAGTTATCCTTAATAATTTATGTTGAAGTCAGTTGTACAAAATTTTTAATTTTATCACTTGTATCAGTTACTTTTGGGTTACTTGTAAAGTTACTTTAATATAAGCTTTGTATAGGCTTGCAGTCAAATACATAGGATGAAAAAATCTAATTAGCCCTGCAAACCCACTATTAGAAACACATAATTTTATTGAAATTAAATATGAACAAAGATATTTAATGTGTGGTGGGTGGAAGGAAAAGAGGAGATCTCCCGCCGGGCAAGGTGTTCTGCCCGAGGAGCGGCCAACGCTCCCATTGGTAGTTCGGAGCTATTCTATATATGCTGCTTTAACTTCGAAACTTTGTTAGTGCGATTTAGGCTTAAATGTGTTTCGCTTGTGGTGCGACGACAGCGCCGCCACATCACCCCCCTGCTCAGACCGGAGGTCGATAGTGCAGTCTAGATGTTGACGAATTTGCAAATGCCAGGGAATTGCCTTGTAAGTCTGCGGTGAGTCGAGAAGGAGGCAAGTAATTTGCGAGAGTGCCGTGAAGCAGAGGCGAGCAGTAAGGCTCAGAGCCGTGCCGAACACTGTAGCGCAGAGAGTAGCTTGAAGGAACAGGAAGCATTATTATTCCAGTGCTGCGATGAACCTTTGTAAAGCTAGATGGCTTGCAGAATGTGAAGACTGCAGACTATATCTGCTCGGGAGCGAATGAATGGGGTACTTGAGAAGGATGACGAAGGTTTTAAAGTTGTAGTTTCGGAAGGTTTTTGGTTGCGTGTTCAGATATTGTCGGGGTCACCACTGTGGCGGGTGGAAGGAAAAGGGGAGATCTCCCGCTGGGCAAGGTGTTCTGCCCGTGGAGCAGCCAACGCTCCCATTGGTAGTTCTGAGCTATTCTATATATGCTGTTTTAACTTCGAAACTTTGTTAGTGCGATTTAGGCTTCAATGTGTTTCGCTTGTGGCGCGACGACAGCGCCGCCACAAATGCAATAAAAAACTAAAGTACTTAATAGCATTCCTTGATTAATTATGGAAGTGTCAAGAACGCGAGTTGCATTTCCTGGCTAAATGGTTAAACTTAACCTTTGGGCGTGAGAAGGACAAGCTGTAATTGTATTGTTTTAACTACATAGTATAGGCCGGTGATGCATAGAGAAAAATAGATTTTAAAAAGAGTTAAATCTAGATAAATTTACTTATGTATTATGCCTGAGTTGAACAACAATTCTGACATTTAACACAAATGTTGAACAGATATCAGTAACACTGAATGAAAAAGATTGTATTATGGGAAGCTGTGTGTCGTTGCAGTGGTCACACAACAGCATTCGATCTATAAACTTAAGAATTGAGTTTCTCATAGCCCCGTGGTGTGTCCTTAGCCTTATAATTGTTTATTTTGTACTTTAAAAGACTTAATTATGAATGTAACAACGTAAATATAAAAAAAAAAAACTCCGTCCTTATAAGCACGCAACGCAATCTTTGACTCGTGTCGCAGTAAGCAATTCCGATAACCAGGTAATGAGTCACATAGCCTTCGTGTACTCACAATATTCTCGCTGTCGATATAATTGTTCAGCATAAGAAGGCTGATCCACCAGTTCTTGCGACACTGATCGGTGTCAGAGGCTATGGCCCTGTTCCACAGCGGACCAGATCCAGTATATGGGTAAACGGCGCTAACGTAGAAAATTACAACGGCGAAGGCCGTTGCAAGTCTGCAACAGAATAAAAGATTAAAAGTTAAAAAATAACGTTTGTCCCTAGTTTATAGTCATTACAATAATCAAGCAGTAGTTGGAAAAACCACAAGTGCATACCTCAGAGTCATGGTAGCTCATAGTTTTGGGACGCGCCGCAAAATCAAGTTTAATTTAAGTATAGCGAGTGACCAGGGTTTTTTCCCTTGAAACAGGCTAAACCATAATATACCTTATATATACATATAACCTTTCGTAATTTGTGATAAATTTTATTATAGTTTATTAACTAATAATGTGACTTAATATTAAGGGCGGATTCGACCAAATAACATGTTACTCCAGAGTAACTAACCCTCGAATAATTTTACTCTTTGGTCTTACTCTTAGATAACTTCCTTTGCGTTTTTCCAACACAAACGTTGAGTAGCTAATACTGGGTATTGTTATTCTAGAGTTGGTGAATGAAAAATGAATGAACATGTAAGCCAACTAAAATCGAAATAGAATTGTTTATATAGCTCAATGCAAGATTTTCTGTCCACTTACTTTTGCCGGATTATATTAGTATTGACTGTCACTGAAGTCTAGAATATTAACACGAGTCGAGTTGTTAGCTTGTTAGTTGATTCTTCTAATCTTATTCTTATCTTCTATATTTCGTAAATGTTGCATTATTTCAAAAAATAAACCCTACAAATATCACAAATATACAAGAAATTATAAATGCACAACGATAAAATATCCTACTTTTTCAACAATGCATACGAAAACAGCTGTTAAAATGTAGCGGCCGCCATTAAAATACTCTGGGATAACTTGTTTACTCCATGAATTTTGGCGGTATAACAATTTACTCTCGAATAGACACTTATACCTGGGTTAATATTTGGTAAAACGAAAATTCTCTAACTCGAGAGTAATTAGTGATTTTATTCTCAGGATAAGACTTATACTAAGTTTGGTTGAATTCGCCCTAAGAAGTAAAAGTGTGTTTGATAGGATGTTTGTCCTATAATCCCGTTGAAACGGCTGGACGAATGCTAATAATATTTGGCCCAGAAGTCGATTGTGTCATTAAATAGGTCATAAAATAATTTTTTGTAATAATTATTACTTAAATTTAGTTTCTTTTTTCTATGAAGACTAGTTACAGTATTGTTATGTAAAGGATATAACTTTCATGGGTATGTAATGCTAAATCGTCAATTTTAGGATTACTTAATAATTTCATAATTGTTAAAGCCGAAGTATTAAGAGTTCAATAAGGTCTTTTTATTTAATGTCTATGGCTACTAGAAATAAATATGATTGTTTAAGTATATTTCAAGTATTCCGTTTTTCGAATTCCCATACATTTTAAATGGATGAAAAACAATACATTTGACAATGTTTTTTTATGAAACTGATGAAAATTAACTTAATAGCGAATGGGCATTTTGGTCTAAATTGTTATTCTTTAGGATAGTTACACTTTTGGATTCCTCAGTATGTTGAAAATTTTGTTGAAGCGTTTCGAAAACAAATAAAAGTTATTTTATTATATAATTGTTTACCGAGTTTTCGGGCGTTTGTAGAGAATACTCCGAATACTTCGTCATTGAAGTTTGCATTATTGATGTCGACAAAATCTCATAAAATGGTAATTGCTTACCTTAAATATCTCTTCAGAATTAAAATGAATGGATTAGGAAATCTTTTGAAAGCTGATAAGCCTGTTGCGGCAAGAAATCCAGACAGGAGGAAAAACGTGTCCACGAATAAATCATTATGTAGAATTAACAGGCCTATGATCGACAACGCAGCCTGAAAGAAACACATTGCGGCGATTAATATCAAAAGGTATAATTTTAATATTGAATTTGAATTGATCAATTCAACATCAATATTGTACAATAAAATTCATGTTATCATTGTATCTTGATTGAAATGAAATGAAATTTATTTAACATACATTGCATAACAACTATAATAGTTACAGTTATTTTTGAGCTCTGAAGCCTGCGTTAGTTAAAACTGTGCTATAGGCCTGAGACAATAGTTCAAGATTCGATATTAATGATTTCTAACGTGATAGGGCCGCGTTGCTACTCTCGTTAACTTACAGCATGCTCGATGCGATAGAGTCACATTACTGCTGTGTAATGGATGCAGTACGAATGTGTCGACTCAATCGGAAGAGGATCACGCTCTTACTAGAATTACCAGCTTGAAATAATATATAATGATGCTGCTGTTTTTTCTTATAGGATCGGGTGATAAACGAGCACACAGTCCACCTAATGGTAAGTGGTTACTGTGACCCATAGACATCTACATCTATCCTCAATAAAGACTCAAGATGCAGATGCGTTGTCACCCGTGAGGACTAAGATGGAATGCCTCTTTGCCAGTAAAAAGGGTCTCCGGTTCTCTACACTCACCATACGAAACACAGCAGCGTTAAGCTGCTATTTTACGCTGGTTTTCTGTGAGAGCGTGGTCCTTCCCCGGTCGAGCCGACCCATTCGTGCTACAACCATAATATAGGAGCAGCATGGCTCTACCACGTAGAAATACACATATATATTTGATATATGCTGTATTACGTATGTTTAGTATAGAAAACAAGTAAGACTTTTTACTGGTAAAGTGGTATCCCATCTTAGTTCTCGATGCTGACTGCGCATCTACACTTCATTTATCATGGAAATAGATGTAGGTGTCTATAGGCCTCAGCATGCATTTACCATTAGGTGGACTGAGTGCTCATTGTCTACCTTATTTTATAAAAAAAGAATCATGCTGTACCTTGTCAACTTGAGCGCCGTTACTAATGGGGCCACCGTTAGCCATACCAAACTGATGATCTAGCACTATAAAACAAATGTTCAAAAACCGAATACCATAAAACACTTCGGTTCCTCCCTTATTCACTTTCAACAGATCCTGTGCGTTATTTTTAAGACATATCGCCTTGATTATTTCATCACCTGCAACATTATTTTATTGATTTACAATAATAATACAAGATAATGAAATAAAAAAATATTTAATATGAATATATCAATATAACAATGAAATAAGATATTTTTTTAAATATATTCACCTAATGTCTTTTTCTCACGAACCGATCGTTTATGTCTTATGTATGTACAAATTAAAACCACTGCTGCAAAAAACGCCATTACTCCACTGGGAAAAAATCACAAAAGTTATTAATAAATGTCGTAGCGTCAAAAATTATGTACATAATTTATTTAAGTTAAAACATTATGTAAAAAAATTTTTGCAATAGTAAAGTTTACCATATAGCTTGTATTTTAGCCAAGGGAACATTTACATCGCAGTAAAACTGTGTAAACTTCAAATACAACTATGTTTATAAGCAACATCATCATCAACATCATTACAGCCCATCACAAGTCCCCGAACAAATACCTGAACATAGGGCTCACCAATAGATTGCCACCATTTACGATCCTGAACAATCTGCATTCATCGATTCCCCGCATTTTCAGTCCATTGTATATCCATATATCCATTCACGAATAAGAATGAAAATGCTGATGCGTTGTCATCCCTAAGATCTAATTTAGAATACCACTTTACCAGTAAAAAGGATATCAGGTTTCGTCACTAACTATACGAAAAAAGGCAATGTTATGCTGTTAATGCTGGTATTCTAAATAAGAGTTGTCCCTCCCCTGTTCGAGCCGACCCAATTGTTCTGCAGCCCTTAGCGTCAAGGCGCTATCTCATACTTAAGGATTACGGAGGTTAGTCGAGATTCAAAATTCGTTCAATTCAATTAGAGAACCTTTCTTCTTTGTGTCTTGAGAATCTTCCTTATGTTTAAATGCATTACCATTCGAAATTCATTTCCTGGTTTGCTTTCGTCAGTCGCCCACATCCACCCACAAGACAATACGCGGTAGTGTATATTATTACACCGCAACTGCACGGCCAACTTGACGTTTAGTATCAGGCAATCTTGTGACGAGTAATGCGATAATGCGATTTTGCGACGACATTTTCCTTAGCCGACATTTTACTTCAATCTACGAATGGAGATAGAGTGGGTAGAGATAAAATACAACATTAGGTTCATCGACCTTTTAATATAAGGATTTGTCGTAATCTACGCTTTGTATGATTTTTTTATAATTAAACGTTACCCGCCCACTACATATACTACTCCGATTTCTACCACTTTTAACCCACACTAGGATTTATTTTTCTGTATCTTGGAGGCAGTCAACATACATACTCGTATATTAACATTCAAAACAATTATTTGTTAGCCATACAAATGCATGTTTCGTGCGGTATTCGAGCCTGCGGCCTTTAACGCGGTAACTACGTTGCTAAGTTACAGCGTATTTACAATCACATTTTTGACGCTGTGTAGAACAGCGTTTGTTTGGGTAATATTTATGTAGAATATTGAAGATATCATCGTGTAACGGCGGCATAAAAGCGACGAGACTAGAAAGAGAAGAATAAGTAACAGAGTCTTTTTTATTATTTTTTCTTGTTTTAAAAAACGTTACCCCTACACTAGGATTTTCCCCTGTATCGTGGGGGCAGGTTACAAATATAGATTGCACGAGGACAAACATCCAGACCCGGAACAATTATTTGTAGGCCATACAAATACTTGTTCCGTGCGGGATACGAATCCGCAGCGCAACAACTCATTGTTAAGCCACTGCGCCACGGAGCCGTCAAAGTGAAACTAAAATATGAGGTAGGCAGCAGCATTTCCCTGACAACAATTCAAAATAATAAAAAACTGTGGTTACTAACCCACATGTTAACTGTAAATATTCCCCCTATGAGGCAATCCGCAGGGGAGGCCTATGTTTAGCAGAGGACTTCGATAGGTCGTATTGATGATGATAATTCGAGATAGTGTACAGCTGTTCACCCAAGGTTGTAAAGTCTTTTTGGCATTTTCCGAGGTATTTCACCTAACTGAACACAACTGAAGGCATTACTTGATGAAAGATAAATGGAACTTACATAAATGAGTAGAAAAGAGCGTCATACTCTCTGGGTTTATCAATACTTTGACATGGTTCATTGACTGTGATGCGAGCTCGCAAACCTGCCGCACCGAGGTGGCTTTGAGCCAGTAATATACCCAGCAAGCGCTGCACTGATTGCGGTTGACAGGAACTTGGAACGCAGAGGCCCCACGTTAAGTAGTTTAGAGGCCTCATGAAGAGAGAACGGTGCTAATTAAAACAATATCAAATTAAGCTTTTAATCAAATATAAAAGAATAAAAAGACGAATTATTTAAAATTAAAAAATATGCGTGAGTGTCGTCGAATACTCGATTGGAACGAAGTTTCTTTAATAGTATATTATTATTGATAAACGTATTATATAATTGATTAATAAATATAAACAAATTAATTATTAGCTTAAAATGAAGCGTCATTTAAAATAAAATACATTATGACACAAGGGGTAGTGACGAAAAAAATCTTACGCTTTTTGTCGCCTAGCTCCTATCTGCCAAACCGTCCGATAAGGAACTTCGTTCCAAAAATTTTGTACAACCGACTTCAATATAAATTATTAAAAATAACTCAAAAACTATTAGTCAGTTCTTGATCAAATTTATATGGGATCACGAGAAGAACAAGCCTTCAAATAAAAAATAATCATCGGAATCGGTTCACCCAGAAAAAAGTAATGAGGTAACACACATAAAAACATACAGTCGAATTGAGTACTTCCTTCTTTTTGAAGTCGGTAGAAAGGAATAAAATAATTTTCACATAACAGCATCAGTGTTTCGTGACAAGAATGAGTGAAAAAAAATTTAAATAATTCCCCGACTTTTTGAGTTTTTACCCTTTTTGATTAGTACTATAGAATATCGGGAATATATGGAAGCAAAATGGAATATCATCTATTTTTCCCAACTCAAGGGTTAGATATTTTCTCGATCGGCATAAAAGGTAATAAGCATTCTTTTTATTTACTTTTTAAGAACATTTTTTAGATGCCTGAGTGCTTGAAGTTTCTGTGGAGAGCGTACAGCGGGGTGAGGCATTTGGCGTACATACATACACTCTAGTACTACACTGTCCGTGTAGTAAAAGAGTGTGTATATGTGGCGGCCGTTTAAAATGTATGCCGCACGCGTCTTCACAAGCCATTATGTCTCACGGCATGCTGAACGCACCAAGTTCAGCCTTTAGCATAATTATTCAGTGGAGAGCGTGCGACGAATTAAAAATGGTTATTAAATAACTAAAAATTAACTTTTTTTGCTTTTTTACCTTACTACTTGAAAAATTTTATGATTTTTGTTCAACGGTATGTACCCTATAGGTAATGATGAGTGAGTTTGTGGGTATCAAAATATCTGACATGAATGGCAGTATCTTTTGACCTTGAATTTTTTAACACTTCTAAGACACTGTAGTATATTATTATATTAGTATTTGATATTAGTTTTAACCTCATACGTGGGGTACTCAATAAGTTATGAGATGCTTGAAATTAAAAAATGGAACGCACCCGTGTTATATGTTTCTAAAAAGCAAGTTTCTAAAATAGAACTCCATAAGCCAATTGCTCAATATTAAAAAAAAAAACAAAGTTTTATTAATTTTCCTGCAACGCTTCCGGCGATCTTCATTTAAAACGATGGATCTTAACCGTGAAAATTTGCGCACTGTGATATATTATGATTTTAAATTTGGTTTAACCGAACAATTAAGTTTACGACGATTACAATCAGCATTAAGGGACTCAGCTCCATCACGCGCAACGATTTTTAGGTGGTTTGCTGAATTCAAAAGGGTTAAAATTAGTCTTAAAGATGACCAAAGAACCAGGCCCCCGCAAACAGCAGTAACGGCAGAAAATGTATGGACTACTGAAATGTTGGTGCGAGAAGACCCACGAATCACACATACGGACATCGAAAAGATTGTAGGAATTAGTTCGGGGAGCATTCATACCATTCTACATCAACATCTTGGAGTAAGGAAGCTTTGTTGTCGATGGATCCCTCGTTTGCTCTCCGAAAGCGAAAAACAGACTCGTGTGGTTCGGTGCCATGAAATGCGTCTACGTTTTGAAAACGGGTCATCTAGGCGTGTTTCAGAAATCGTTACTGGTGACGAGACATGGGTCTATCAATATGATCCGGAAATTAAAAGGAAATCATCGGTATGGGTCTACTCAGAAGGACAGTTACCGACAAAAATGCAAAGAACTCGCAACGTCTGCAAAAAAATGGTGGCTAGTTTTTTTCGCAGAGCGGACATTTGTCGACGTCAACGCTGGTAAATTGTAGGTCAGTTAACTCTGAATGGTATACTACAGTTGCATTACCCAAAGCTTTTCAAGCTGTGTGGGAGAGAAGGCCAAAGAGAGGACTTCGGGGAATCATGCTGCATCACGATAACGCCTCTTCACATAGCTCCCTTAGAACAAAAGCATTTATTGAGGAATCTGGTGTTGAAACTCTAAGTCACCCACCCTACAGCCCTGACTTAGCTCCTTGTGATTTCTTTTTGCTCCCAAGAATCAATGAAAAAATAAAAGGCAAGTTGTTTTCAAGCGCCGAAGAAGCCGTGGCTGCCTACGAAGAATCGATTTCCGACCTGTCAGATCAAGACTGGAAAAGTTTCTTAGAGTTGGTTTAGGCGAATGGAACTTTGTATAGAGCATGATAGAGAATATTTTGAAAAGATGTAAAATAAATATTAATAGAGTCTAAAATACTGTGTTGGTAGTACAGAAATAGGTCTAAAATTGGCGGGGTCTAATGTGCTACCAGATTTAAAAAAAGGTATTACTTTACTATGCTTCATTAAATCAGGAAACACACCAGATTAGATACTAGTATTAAAAATAATAGCTAAATGAGGCGCGATTGTATCTATTATAGACGCAATAACTTTAACGGAAATCCCCCACATATCCGCAGTTTTCTTAACATCAATCGTTTTAAAATATATTACAATATCTTTTGATGACACTTGATGAAATGTAAAATTCTTTGTACACGCATTTACATTTTGTTTAAGTAATGATCCTGCAACGGCAGGAGAAGAATTCAGTGACTTAGTGGTCAAGATCGGAATATCAGTAAAATATTTCTCAAAAACCATTGCTACGTCCTGATCTGATACAGTTAATTTGTTGTTAACACTTAACTGGTAATTTGAATTGCGAGAGTTGATCTTACCAGTTTCGTTATTAATTATACTCCATGTCATTTTAATTTTATTGGAAGCCGTCTTAATTTTGTTGCTCAAATGCAAAGACTTGGCTATGGAGCTCACTCTTTTAAATATTTTTGAATATTTTTTTACATATTCCCTAAATTCGACGCTATGATTATATGACCTTTCATGGTAAAGATCATATAACCTATGCCTGCTCTTATGGACTCCCACTGTCGCCCATTCATTGAATGACTTCCGACTGTTTGAATGATTATGCTGTTATTCTACGCTTGTCAAGACACTTGGTATTTTTCAGTCGATCCTACTTATTTGTACTGTAGCTTTATTAGAGGTGCAGTGCATATAATTTAAAATTAAAAATTTTGTACAACCGACTTCAATATAAATTATTAAGACTATTGGTCAGACCTTGATCAAATTTATATGAGACCACATAAGAAGCACCAGCTTTCAAATAAAAAAGAATCATCGAAATCGGTTCACAGAGCTATGAGGTAATACAAAAAAAAACATATAGTCGAATTGAGTATCGTCTCCTTTTTGAAGTTGGTAGAAAATCATCTGGTTATGACACAGTATTTAGCTGCAAATAAAGGTGAAGGATCGTACTAAGCCGACAGTAAGCACTAACAGTATACTCAAACCCAGTATTTCTGCTGAGAATGAAACTCAAAATTGTCTATAAATAATATAATTGAAATCACACTTGTTGCAATATCATAATTTTTAATAATATTACCTCTATAAGATCCAGAGCTGATTGATATGGGTTGTAAAGGTCTTTGACTCGCTTTCTAGGAGTTTTATCCGATCTTTCGAGAACAATGTCAGCGAGACAGTACTGATTTCTCAAATCAGGATAGGTATCGTCCCAGGGTACTTCTATACATTGGTCGAAATTACCTAGATGGTATCGATTGCCATACAAAAGCCCTTGGGGTTCGGATGAAATAGAATCCCATTCTGTGGAATAAAAATATTAATATAGTATTCCAATTGCAATTAAATTTACGGTATACTACGTGGGTGGTCTGAAACGTTTCCGACCTAACAAAGATACAAGACATTTTTTCTTAAAATTTATCTTTATTTTTCTACATAGTCTCCTTGTTTTATTTTTCTACACACTTCTCCCAGTGATGCTCCCATCTCTGCAACTCATCCAAATAGTACTTGGCTATTTTCTCTGTAAAATAATTGTTCAAGAATGTGATTGCCTGCTCATTTGACGAAAATCTCTATCCTCCGAGCGCAATTTTTAGATGATGGAACGAAAAGAAGTCGCTTGGGGCTAAATCTGATGAGTAAAGTGGATGGTCAAACAGTTCAAACCGTAATTCGTCGATTTGCGTCATGGCAACTACTGAGGTGTGAGAGGGCTCGTTGTCATGGTGGAACAGGATTTTCTTTTTCTGCAAATGTGGACGTTTTTCAGTTTCTTAAGTAATGATGTGTAGTATGCTCCTGTAATGGCTTTTCCTTTTTGAAGATAATCAATTAAGATAACTCCATGACCATCCCAAAAACAGTCGCCATCATTTTCCCAGCCGAAAAAACAGTTTTTGCTTTTTTTGGAGCCGGTTCCCCCTTTGCAGTGCACTGGTTTGACTGTATTTTTGTTTCGGTCGTATAATGGTGTATCCAAGTTTCATCTACAGTAATTAATCGGTGCCAAAACTCGGATTTATTGCGCCTAAACTGCGCCAAAAGAGGGTTGGAAATGTTCATTCGAACACGTTTTTAGTCTAACGTGAGCAAACGTGGCACCCAATGCCTAAATCTTGATTTAATATGTAACAAACACATTCTATGGGCATTTTCATAGCCTCTGCTGTCTCTCTCACTTTACTTTACTTTAATTCGGCGATCGTCTAGCACCATTTGGTGAACTTTAGCGATGCTATCGTCATTAGTTGCAGTTTTAGAACGTTCCCAAGTTCTCGCGATCACGTTTAAATTCAGCTGCCCAAAATTTCATTGTGGTAAATTATGGTGCAGAGTCCCCATACATAGAGTGCAACTTGTCTTTCATTTGCGTAGGCGTATTGTCCTTCAAGAACAAGAATTTAATAACAGCTCAATACACAATTTTTTCCATTTTCACAAAACCACCCACATTGACTCACTCAACCGACTGTCAAATAACAAATGCGCTTCCAAAATGACTGAAATTTTGGTGCATAACTGTCTAAAAATTCACAACTACATTCACTAGCTTTTACTGATGAGTGCTGCCATCTTTACGTTGAGGTCGGAAACTTTTCACCCCACCCTAATGTAAGTATCAATTATTATATTAAATTGTAAAACAATTCACCATCACCATCATCACTACCATCACCACCATCACCATCATCATGCATTCATAAACAGTGGTTAAGTAGCGCTGCTGGTAGCAGCTTCGATTCAAGCATGGAACTAGTATTTGTATGGCCTATAATATTATGCAGCAATCTATTAGTAGCTACGGGGTCATTCAAGGCTTTCCGTCCGTAAATGTCCATTGCCTGACTGGGACTGGAGATTAAAAAGAAGTAAGTCTCTCTAGTTTTTAGGAGAATTTGCCTTAATCGTCACGATTGGTAGGCGGATACAACATCGCAGTACTGGAAGATTCACAACTTTGACACTGCTTCCCGTCGCCGATTTGGTTATTTTAAGCCACGTACCCACCAAAAATGTTGACAACAGTTATGTTTCCAACTGTTTACAACTGTTTCCAACAAGCGTCTCCACCGAGGGTACAAATGTTTGCAACAAGCGTATTCCTTTGATGTTGCCTCCGAAAAGTTACCGACATTGTATCAAGTTTTGATTCCAACCGTTGTGTTGGCAACAAAACTTTGGTGGAGACGCGGCTTTACGCATATAGTAAGCGAGATGATTATAGCGAAATCTATCGTGAGCCATAATATTTTTTTTAACCCATCTCTTAATCACCTTTTACGACACCCACGGGAACCAATGGTGATGGATTGAGATCCGTTAATCAATAAAATTAAATCCAAACTCAAATATATTATTGGAATATTTTGAGGCTATATACGTTCATTTTGCGTAAATCGGACCAAAATTAATAAAAAAGTTAGCTCGAGCTAACGGTGACATCTTTAAATTGGAATTATAAATTAATTATAATTAATGAAATGAAACTTTGCGCTGGTCGAATTTTGTATATTTTCTGGAATTTTGTTGTAAAAGCATATACCTCGCCCCAAGAATTAATTACTGACTCGATGGAGTCGATTAACTGGTATTACTAGCTTGTGTCTGTTCCTAGTGTTTACGATTTTATTAATCGTCACCCATAAACAAATAAAAAATTATTGTGGTTCAATTAAAATATGTTAATTGTTTCACATTTATATATTGGTCAAGTTATAATTAATTGGATGAAAAATTATAGTGGTAAATCTATATGTCTAACTATATAATCTTTATATATAAAAATTACGTGTCACATTGTTTGGCCGCGATGAAATCCTGAACTACTAAACTGATTGCAATGAAATTTTGCACACTGTGTGCAGTTTGGTCCACCTTGAGAGATAGGATAGTTTTTATCCCTATAAGTGACCCTCAATATTTTTTATTACGAATTTAAGATTTTTTGTAGGACACAGGGTCGTCGGAGAGGGCAGAACAAGAGGTCTGCCTGTCCAGCTAGTTCTATATAATTTCTAAATCTGGCTATTGAAAAATCAGCCCTAAGTGAAATTAGTTTCATTCAATGTAACGAGTTTCAGTCATTACAGCCTATCAAAACCTACCGCTCAACACCCATTTGATTGCCTCAGAAGGGGGATATTTACCATATTCGTCTCGGTTGGCAGGAGGGTTGGCAATCGCAGTTTTCTTCTTCACTGGTTTCCTATGTCGTTTTTTTACGACACCTACGCTAAACGGTCGTTAATCATTGATACTTGAAATATATATACTACAGTATTAAAATATAAAAACTTACGCCACACGGATAATAAAGTAAAATTTTGCAAATTCTGCAATACCAACAACGTTTCGTTCAAGCATGGCTTCTCGTCCGCAGTCCAGTTTTGATTTCTCAAAGCGTATAATACATCATCTAGATATACGCCACGCTCTTCTGCGGTGAAGATTTTCCACGACTCATGTTTTTTCTCAATAAATTTATGAATTGATGTTCGGTTCTCATATAAATCTTTCGTATTTTTTACATCTTTTGTTTCGGAAACAACATAACTGTGGACACTTTTTATTACCGCAATAGAAAATAAAATAAACGTGTATTTCATTGTATGGCTTCTGTTATCAAGTTATTAGTAAACTGAATAAAAGTTGAGAAGGTCTAACATTATAAGTGTATAAAAGTTGCATAATCAAGTCAGGCAATCAGTAAAGCCATCATCAATTATCTATTGTGTTTCTTTTTGTCTTATAGGTTAAGTACCATGGCGATGCACAGATATAGATGGGTACTGAACTGACACTGTTGAATTTTACAGTGATTTCGATAATTGATAATAGCTATTAATTTTTGTATTTACATAAGTCTTAAGTATAAAACACTATGTATTCATGTCATCGAGTCATGGCTCGTACACATTACATGCAACTCCACCTGGACTGTGATACGGGGGCTTAGAACATTGCTTTGATCTATGGGCTTGATTTAGGGACGAAACTTTACCTCCCATGGCTCTACCAACCTTGCGGTTGTACGGACCGAATATCGAGCAATGCACTCTACTCTACTTCTACGAGGCTCTTTCCCACGTGCACTTTCTTGACTTTCAATAAGTTATTTATTCTTCTCCTTGTCCCATATTGTCATTTTTCCTTTTTAGGTATGACGAACACAACGCTTTCAGTTCCGGACAGATCTCCAGTTATGTGTATCTTCTCCATGGCAGTTCTCCGCGCATGCCATCCATGCGCACACTCGCGCGACCTGCCAAAGTTGTCCTTAGTGTCAACGAGGTCCAGGTAGTAAACCGTGCCATCCATCCATAATCTTACACCACAGGTTATCATAAAGCACGCACTCCCACAGCACATAGTGCCTATCCTCGTAGGTCGCTGTACACTCACACATATACTAGATTCAGCCAATTTCATGTCAAACAATCTTTTCCTGAAACATCCATGCCTTCTGAGGACCTGAGAGACTTGGTAATCCGGCACAACTCAATTTGCATTGAGTCACGCCGCCGCGTCCGGGAATAAACAGAATAATTCCATCCATCGTTTCTGGCATGCATGCATTCATAACGTCATCCCGAATTTCGCGCTTATGCCTGCTCAACTCCCCATTATCTGCGTTTCTGCACACTTGTTTAATCCTACCAGCACTTAAGACTTCCAGATTGGCCGGGAGGACGCTGGCTAATACTGGAAGCGTCGCAGTACTTATCATCATATAGCCCTTTGCCAGCAGCACGAGTGAGGATTGCTGCGATCTCAGCAGTGCCATGCGCACTGTATAGTTCCCTACCCGGTCAACCCAAACGGTCGCAGGATAAGTTACTACTAAGTTGGAACATTTATTCCTTTATACAGAATACAGGGCCGGGTAACGTACGTTCCAAGAAGACGGCGTCTTCTAGGGACATCCAGCATATCTTCCCAAAGCATCTCCGAGCCCTCTCTCCCATCGTTGTGTGACTTGCTGAATAACACCCAATACTTTTGTCGACATTACGGTTTTTATCGATTCAGTTTTTTTTTTAATAGAAATAGGGTGACAAACGAGCACACAGTCCACCTGATGGTAAGTGGTTGCTGTGGCCCATAGACATCTACATCCATCCTCGTTTGCGAATCAAAATGCAGATGCGTTGTCAGCCTTGACGACTAAGATGGAATGCCTCTTTTCCAGTACAAAAGGGTCTCCGGTTCTCTACACTCACCATACGAAACACAGCAGCATGAAGCTGCTATTTTACGCTGGTATTCTATGAGAGCGTGGTCCTTCCCCGGTCGAGCCGACCCATTCGTGCTACAACTATATTGTGTACAAATAAATAAATGAATTTTAATTTGAATATAAATATAGCTGCAGCTTGGCTCTACCACGTGAGTCGTACCAGTTCCTATCCTGATAACAGGTGGTCATTTTAACTTGCCTTTGATTGTCATCTTACATGACTGCAGAAGAAAGGATAGACGGTTCCTCTCACCCCACGATGACACCAGCTCCAATACAGGTTTGGTCGTTCTATCTAATTCAGCTTTGGAGTTAGTCTCAATCAAAAGTGTCACATCATCATACATACGCCAACATTTTCGTGTTGAGGGGAAATGGCAGACTCAAAAAATCCAGCATCCAGCAATAAATTCCACAGGCTCGGTCCAAGGACCGATCCTTGCGGGCAGTCCATGGTTGAACGTTTCCATTCCACACCATCATCTACGTATATGCCTACTCGTCTGTTAGTGAAATATTCCACCATCATGCGGTAGATGTTAGGTGAAATCCCCATGGTGCATGGGCATTCAATTGTATCATCGCAGCCGTTACTGTGAACTGACCTGGCGGAAACCCGTGCTGGTAATCCGATATACCCTCCACTAAGCTCGGAGCACTGTTTTGCCTTGAAATACGCTCCACAGACGTATGAAAAAGGAAAATTTAAAATCACCCAAGATTCATAGCACATTCAATCAATCTGTTAGTGATTATTTTTCGGCCACATTTTAAAATTCTCTGGCAACAATCTCTACTATGTGTGACTGTTTGACCACAGACTATGTATGTGTTTGACAATGGCAGTATGAACCACAGACTAACTAGTAGATTCTACCGAATGTACGAAAGTTGTACGTGGTAGAGCCATGCTGCAGCTATATTAGTAGTATAGTTGTAGCGCGAATGGGTCGGTTCGACCGGAGAGGACCACGTTCTCACAGAATACCAGCGTAAAATAGCAGCTTAATGCTGCTGTGTTTCGTATGGTGAGTGTAGAGAACCGGAGATCCTTTTTACTGGAAAAGAGGCATTCTATCTTAGTCCTCACGGCTGACAACGCATCTGCATTTTAATTCGCAAACGAAGATAGATGTAGATATCTATGGGCCACAGCAACCACTTACCATCGGGTGGACTGTGTGCTCGTTTGTCAGCCATATTCAATAAAAAAAAAAACATAAACAAATAACAAACATATGTGTTTGACATTGACAGTATGAACGTGAACAATGAATGTTTTATTTAATTTAATTTAATGTATTCGTAACACCATATTACGAGTATATATAAATTTAAGCATTTTGCAATCCTTTTGCCTTATAATCTTTACCTATGCCAAATCTCTCACTCCTCCGTGCTTAAAATGGGCTACAAAATTATCGCTTCACGTATTATAGACAAGTGGTCGACTAGTGGTCGAAGTTCGACCGTATTTCATAAAATTTTTAAGTTTGTATATTATGCCAGCTGAATTCAACTTTAAACTGCACAATAATAAACAATAAAATATTAGGATTCACTGAATGCGCTGTGAATTTTGTGTGATTTCCAATTTTCCTATTTAAATGGCGTGTGGAGTGTATGTCAAGGCGAAAAACGTTTATTTTATATTTCGTTTATTATTTCATTATTTGTCAGTTATTGTTTATTATTTGCCGGCAACATTTTAACATTTTTTGACGATAACCTTCTACTCTGAACTGAACTGTCGTGGTAGCTCAGGGGCGCTCGCTGCAAATTGATATTTGTAGCGAGCGTGACTTTAATCTGTACGTGTGTACCCAGGTTCGATCTCCATCGGCGGCAATGAAATTGTTAATTGCGATTTTAAGTGCTATTTTACCATGTGTTCGACGGTGAAGGAAAACATTGTGAGAAATGTCTAAGAAATAAGAAAAGAATATATATTTTGAAGGCTTGTAAGTCCGCCAACACGCATGAAGCGCAGCGGTTATTTCCTTGTCCTAAAACTCTTTCAGAAATGAGAGGAGGCCTGTGCCCAGCGGTGGGAAGTATGTAGGCTATATCTAACAAGCAGACCTCTACTCAGTGCGACCCTTGACCCTTTGGTTTGACCACATAATGTTGTGTATTATTTGACAATTGACATTGGTAGTATGAACTTCAACAATGAATGTTTAATTTAATATACATATATAATTGTACACATTATTTATAAATTTTAATATTCGGTACTCCTTCTACATATTAACTTTAATTGCCAAATCTCACACTCTTTCATGCGCGAAATATGCTTAAAAAATCAATGGTATTTTCTTCAAAACAAGCTTTTAATGAAATGCTTTAGAAAAAAGAAAATAAACTTTAAATTAAATCGATTCCAGCTTTTTATCACATTACACAATTTATATTATATAAAAGTTTAGAATAGAATAGAACAGAATAGAATATTGATTTATTTGTATTAGAATGGATTCTACTTGTTCTGCTTGTCGCGAGATTTATCTGCTTTATAAAGGCATTATTTTATTCTTAAAATTACCTAGTTATGTAAATATCACCAGTACCACAGTTACATTATATTGTAATCTTGTTTTGCACGCAGCTAAATCTCGCGACAGGCTTTTTCTAAATATATAAAAGCGAAAGGTCACTCATTCACTCATCACGGAATATCGAAAACCGCTTCACGTATAAAGATGAAATTTGGCAGGGAGGTAGTTTATAGTTAGAAGACTATTTATAATATAGCTAAGAAATATCAAGTGAGAACAGATTTTGCGACAAGGCCAGATTAAGGAGGTCTAAGGGCTCTCGCAAATTTGTATGAAAGTCCTACATTTTTTTGTGGTACAAACTTGAAATTTAGGAAGTCTAAAGTTTATGAGTAGGACACATTAGCTAAGAAAAAATTTTGTGACAGCCTTGACTAAGAGCTCTTGCAAGATTATATGAAATCCTTGGCTTTATGTACTCGTATCTGAAAATTGGTATAAAGATAGAATTAGATACAATAATATTCAAATATATATGAATCTATAAAATGGGTTTTATTATAGTTATTTTTGTTTTGTTACGCTAAAGAAGTATAACTTCTTACGTGCGTACATAAGCACACACAGACGTTTTTTTTTCTAATTGGTGCCTTAAAATATTTAGTTGCTTAGTGTGATTGATATAAAAAAAAAACTACCGGCCGATTTTTTTAGGGACCATTATAGGTAAAATTTCTCTCATTATTTCTGATGAGATTATATATGAGAGAAATAATGAAAAATAAAGATGTCAATATAAATATAAAGAAAAAACTCTATGAAATAGCGATATTGCCATGCCTGACATATGGTTGCCAGACATGGTCATTGAGAAAAGAAAACGTAGAAAGAATTGCTATCTGTCAACGCAAAATGGAAAGAAGCATGCTTGGTCTAAAACTATCAGAAAAGGTTAACAACGTCAACATCAGGAAAAAAACAAAAATTATAGATGTAAGAAAAAGAACAAGATTATTCAAGTGGTACTGGGCAGGACACATCTGTAGGATGAATAATAACAGATGGACCAAACGTCTAACAGAATAGATACCAAGAGACAGGAAGAGACAAAAAGGGAGACCAAGTAAAAGGTGGAGAGACATTTTTAATCAGAGATGTGGACCCCTATGGATGCGAGTGGCTCGGGAAAGAGATATGTATATGGAAAGGTTTAGGAGAGGCCTACGCCACAGAGGCGATTACTACTAATATTAATTAAGTCATATGTATACATACATAATTATACATATAACAAAAATACATATTAGTTATACTATACTATTATAACCTAGATTAATCATATGTCAAGTTTGCATTGTAGTAGAAATAAAGGCTATTTTATTTATTTATTTATTTATTTATAGGTAAAATTTTGGAAAGGCCACCAGAGTATATACACCAGAGTATAAGCAACAATATAATTTAAAATTAAAAATTTTGTACAGCCGACTTCAATATAAGTTATTAAGAATATCTCAAATAACTCAAAAACTATTGGTCTGACCTTGATCAAATTATAATATATAACATATGGGACCACATGAGAAGTATCAGCTTTCATATAAAAAAAGAATAATCGAAATCGGTTTACCCAGTAAAAAGTTATGAGGTAACACACATAAAAAAAAAATACGCGTCGTATTGAGTACCGTCTCCTTTTTGGAAGTCGGCAGATAAGGATTGACGACGCGCAGTTTGGTTTTCGTTCCGGACTTTCAACGGATTCTGCAGTCTTGAGTCTTAAATCGATAGTTACTACATAAACAGAGGTACATCTGTGTATGCTTGCTGTTTGCTGTTTAGACCTTAGTCGTGCCTTTGATCTAGTTGACTATCAGCGACTATGACAAAAACTAATATCATCAAATGTACCCAGGTGGACTGTGGATCTGTTGAGTTACTGGTATGGAAAAACTTTGTGAAATGGGGCAACGCCATTTATAATGATTATTTATTAGATTGTGGCGTACGTCAAGGTGGGCTGACCTCTCCGGACCTCTTTAGCTTATACGTAAACGAAATGATTTAGGAACTTGGAAATACAAAAATTGGTTTTCACATAGGTACAATTTCTTTGAATAATCTCAGCTACGCTGACAACATGGTGCTACTGAGTCCCTCAATCAGGGGACTTAGAAGGTTATGCGAGCATTATGCGCGAGTTAATGGCCTGAAGTATAATGTTAAAAAAACGCAGATGATAGTGTTCCGCTCGGGCAGAGGCCCGGAGAGGGTTCCGTTAGTATTTCTGAACGATGAAGCTATTGCAAAAGTGGATTTATTCGGGTACCTGAGACGTTTGCGTGATAACCTTGACATAGAACGTGAAAGGAAGGCTCTGGCTCTGAATGCATACCGCATTCTGATGAAACTGCCTAAATACTGCAGTGTGTTGAGCATGTTTGTAAACGCCGGGGTGCCCGATTACTTCTTACGCAGTTATTAGATCTCGGGTTGTAGCTTTTTGGTTTTGCATCCGTGATTCCGAGAACGAAATACTCAGGGTATGCTACGAGTCTGAGTCTGAAATAAATGACTATTATTAACATTATTGTGGGATATCTAAATAGTTTTTTATTCTCAACAATATCTCAAAAATATATAGTTTAAATAGAACATTTGGTTGGGCTATATAAATATATAAATGGAAATGTATATGATGATACATATACATAAATATCAATAAAATAAAATAAATAAAAATCCAACCAGATGGAAGCCCTCAGCAGGGGAGTCGAAACGGCCAAGGGTTAGGAAGAAAGGGAAAGAAGCCGGCGGACGTTGCGGACGGTATCGAGGAGCACCGCTTTCTGCATCTGAGTCCGGAGCGATCCGTCACGGAGTCTCAGTCGCGTCACATGACCTGAGAGGCGGACTGGGATTAGCCCATTCGCAGAAACAACCACAGAAATAATTTCGGTCGATCGTGAGCTAGGTCCAGTTATTTTGTTCGCTTATCTGTTTTGGCTTTCGCGAGGTTCTCGTCATAAGGAATGGTAATGTCGACCAAAACTATTCTTGACTGTGCCCGGTCTATCAGCACAATATCAGGCTTATTCGCAAGAATAGTCCTGTCTGTGATGATGATGTCCCAGTAGACCCTGGCGCGGTCATTTTGAGCACGGCTTCCGGCATGTACTTATATTAAGACAGTTTCCGAACCACGAGACCATATTTCAGAGCGAGCTCCTGGTGTAGAATCCTTGCTACTAGGTTGTGCCTGTGCAAGTAATAAGTTTTATTAGCGCCGGACAACCAGAGATGATATGCCTAAGTGATTCGCCGGGATGGCGACAAGTTCGACAGATGGCAACGGTGCCGTCCTTTAGTTCAGAGAGAGGCTGCACCAGATTGGACTCAAACAATCGCTTTGGAAGATCTCCTTCTTATCCTTATGTGGTTCTCTGCAGCCGTTATCCGTTTGCCTAGATGACAAAGGATCGTACTCCACTGCCTCATACACTGCCCGAGGAAGTCTCGAACTGTAAGTTTAACCTTGTACAGCTCGAGGACTCTCTTAAGCCATGTATGCGGCACCGAGTCGAATGCCTTTTTGTAGTCTATCCAGGCGGCGGAGAGGTTCCGACGGTTGCATTTAACCACCTTGCCAATGACCGCGTCAATGAGGAGTGGTTCTTTGGTTCCACGACCACCGCCCCGACATCCAATTTGAACGCGCGATATCTCCTGATTTGAGTTTTGGTGACGAATGATTCTCGCGCTCAAAATGTATGTTAGTGTCTTGTTTATGGTAGTTAGACACGTTATGGGACGGTATTTACTTGGGTCTGTGGTATCTTGGTCTTTAGGAACCAAATGAGCTATCCCAGTAGTGAAGAGGCGCGGGAGCAACTTCTGGTAGAGAGCCTCTTGAAGCTGTCGGTTGAGCACAGCGTGACACACCACGAACCCCTTCAGCCAGTAGTGATGCAGTCCGTCGAGCCCCGGATTTTTCCAGTTCGGTGCCCTTCGGACCGCCTCAGCTACGTCGTTCGGCGTTATAATGACAGGGTCCATGGGCGTAACATTCGCACACTGACTCGCCACGAATTCCGTCCATGGACCCTCGCTGTGGTTTACGGGCTCTGACTACAGGCCGCGCCAGAATGCGACAGTGTCAGCCTGATTCGGTGCTGGGCCCTTTCCACGTACAATTTGCCGCTTCAATGATTTATAGAGCCTCTTCTGATCACTCTCGAAGAGATGATTCTGGTTGCACCATGTCGATCTCTCGGTATGTCGCCGAATCCGCTTTCCCCAAGCAGCGGTTCTCTGCTTCAGCTCGTCTATGCGCTCCGTCAGTTTTTGCATTATATCCGGCTGGGACAAATTGATATTTGTCCATAGACATCTACATCTATCCTCAATTACGAAACTAAATACAGACGCGCTGTCACACGTGACGACTAAGATGGAATGCCTCATTTCCAGTAAAAACGGTCTCCGGTTCTTTATACTCACCATACGAAACACAGCAGCGTTAAGCTGCTATTTTACGCTGGTATTCTGTGAGTGCGTGGTCCTTTCCCGGTCAAGCCAACCCATTCGTGCTACAACTACACTACTAATATAGCTGTAACATGGGTCTACCACGTAGTTTAGATAAAATAAGTGCAATTTTTGTTTACAAATTGTTTAGATTATAAATTTAAATACGCCAGTATATTCTATGTTAAAAAATAAATGGTATAATAGCGCCATCTACTAAAATATTTGAAAACATTCACTGCCGTATAGGGTTAGGGTGACGACGATGCCGATGTGTTTATAAAATCTAAAAGATAGATGGTGTTTAACAACTTCTGATTGCGAGTATCAGATGTGTCCCTAGTAAATTTTAATCACGTTTTACTGTCATCTTACTTTTGCATCACTTCGCAGAAGTCAATGGAAGTTCAATGGGAGATATATTATGTAGGTATATGTATAACAAATTATATGTATAGGACAGGCCGCTCTTCGATTTTTACATGAATTCGCATGATATAAACGCACTGACTTGCGGCTAGCCGTCAGCCGCTCCGGTTGAATAATACGGCGCACCGCAGTCCATCCACGCACTCATGTCGTGGATTTTAATACAGAAAAGTTTATTTTAGAAATCAAAGACCAGAAATAATCAGTGCATTTGCTATATGGGATGGCACATGTGCTGATTATTAAACACAATAACTGCAGCAACTTCTTGGACGTCCATCACGTCCAATATTTCTAAAAGCACTGACGATTGTGGTGGACCGCAATAGAATCGAGACGATACGATTAGCCGGAATACAGCGTGCCGTTACGGCAGATCGTATATACTGCGGCCTGCTGCAACGGCATGCCGCATCACGGCCAGCCGCTAGTGTGTTCTTGCTCTAACAGCTTCGTTGAACAAAAAAGATATAAATTCTCTCACGCAGCCCATTCAAGACAAACAAGCAACTAAGTCAACATTACGGTGTACCTAAACGTTTCCATTCCGATCAAGGTACAGAATTTCTAAACAGCGTGAACGTGATTAAACAATTGATGAAATGACTAGGATCCAACCACACAGTTAGCACCGCATGTCATCTTCAAACTAACGGTTCATTAGAACAATTCCACGAAACATTACGCGATCACATCCGAATGTACCACAAACGTAATCAATCTAATTGGGATCAAATTGTGCCATTTTACACAGCAAATTCATGCCAAATAAAAAGAAAATTTCTTACTGTGACTTGTAAATGCGTAGGTATTTATATTTGGTAGAAACACGCTGCAGCTATATTATGTTTGTAGCGTGAATGGGTCGGCTTCAACGCGTAGGACCAGCTTAATGCTTATCTGTTTCATATGGTGAGTGTACAGAACCGTATACCAATTTTTACTGGAAACGAGGCATTCCATCTTAGTCCTCAAGGGTGACAACGCATCTGCATTTTGATTAGGAGGATAAATGTAGGTAGATGTCTATGAGCCACAACATCCATTTACCATCAGGTGGACTGTGTGCTCGTTTGTCACCCTTATTAAAAAAAAGTACGTTCGTAGGAAGGAGATTAGACATAGATCCAACGATTTTTCGCGCTTTCATAGGCACCGGGGTTAAACACCAACTGGCCAGGCCTTATAACTTGACCTCACTTGCTTGAATTCGGACTAATACTGAGAATTTTTGAAAAAATTTGACTGAAAAATCCGACAGGTAAATGATTTTCGCTCGAACCGGGATTCGAAACCGGGACCACGTGATCAGCAAACAATAGGGCAGTCAATTAGTACCGCATCCACTGCTGTACGATACCTTCAACGGAATGAAGCGCAGACAGTATAATGACAGTCTGTGAGGTGTTTCATCTTCGTTCTTAGGTTGATATCGCATCTGTGGTCTTATTTATATTACAATGATGGTGTATATACAATACAAAAGCCAGCTGGACTGTTAATTGTTTGTCTTTTTAGGGTTCCGTACCTCAAAAGGAAAAAAGGAACCCTTTTAGAATCACTTTGTTGTCCGTCTATCTGTCTGTCTGTCTGTCTGCAAGACCCTTTTTCTCAGGAACGCGTGGGTGTATCAAGCTGAAATTCATATCAAACACTCAAGTCTACTGTGCCTTGAAGCTGTGAAAAATCAAACTTCTATGCCAACGCAATCAAAAGATACAGCCGTTTATGCCGCAAATTTTCGACATTCGCAAAGGAATCAAAACCTACAGGGTACTTCCCGTGAACTCAAAATCTTAAAATTTGGTACGAAGCAACGTATTATAGCACAGATAAAGGAAAAATTGCGAAAAGCATAAATTTTTAGTCACATTATATAATAAAAATATTTTCAATAATTTTAAACTTAAATACCTACGGATTTGTTCGGAACCCTCGGTGCGCGAGTCCGACTCGCACTTGGCCGGTTTTTATTTCTTATAAAATTAAAGTGAAGATCGAACTAACAGTCCAATTGATGATGGTAAGCGGTTACTGCAATCCATAGATACCGGTAACCAACTTCAAACAAAGCTACAGATACACAGATACAGTTGTCACATCTCAGGAATAAGATGGAATGCCTCTGAGTATACTGGCTGTCTTTATCATTCAACATACAGAACAGTAGTGCACGGACTATAGCTTGGCGGCATTAATAGGCATGGGGCATGGTATCTATCCGGCCGTAATCCTTGACAGAAGAGGAGCGCTACTATCTAAAAAAAAAAAATCAATATTTCGTTCAATTATTTATTACAGACTAACAAAAGTCTAAACTTTAATTTAGATTCTATTTCATGCCAATTTACTTTTTGGCTTGGCGGCGAAGGAAAACATTCTGGAACCACCAACGCACACTGGAGACGGCGAATATCTGTTTTTCCTTGAGGTTTTTTCTGCTCCACAGAGTAAATTTTAATATACTGAAAACCTGCTCTACTAGCTACTACCACCTGTTGGGCGTGCCCTCACTAGAGGGAGTGACGAGCTAGTAAGACATGCAGGAATTCGATGGATGCTGGTGGCTCAGCATCGTGCTTTGTGGAATTCTTTGGGGGAGGCCTATGTTCAGCAGTGAAGGGCCATAATGATGATGATTATGATGATGCCTGTTCCTAGCAGTGTTAAATTTCGCACTAGAATCCAAACACAAATAAAACAGGAATTTTACTTTGTGATCATTTATTTATAAATAACGCTATTTCTAATAAATATCCATTCATTGCTACACATTCAACTATTAAAGATTTTCTAGAACATTATTTAAATAATTAAACTAATGTAAAGTGCATTTTTAAGTATTATTACAACGGTGAAAATCACACACATACTCTTTAATGTATTATCCAGATACAATATAACGATATCGTAATGACCATCTTACGTTTACTTACAATATAGATACATTGATATAACATGATTTTAACAGTACTGTTGCTGACTTACATAAATAATTTGTTGTCTTATATTGAAAAATCTGGGAGCGTTTACCATTTAGTACTATTATTTAGTCTGTGCCACAGTGCTAATGAAATGTTTTCGCTATCAATGTAAACATCGTAAACAGTGGTAGCATTTTGTTTTAGTAGTTTTGATGTTGTATCTACTAGATTGCTGTGTAGAGGCGGCGTATGAGTATCCACTACCCTATATCATTTCGTGGGTGTCTTACTCGTAAGAGGCGTAAACAGGAGATGGGCATTGGGAACTAGCCTGCCAAGTTTGACAGTTTTGGCAAATATTACCCAAATAAAGAAAATATAAGAAAGAGTTTAAAGCATTAGTGGCCTTTATAGACTGTAGCGCATTAACGAATGGTGTATTCCTTAAAGTTCAATAAAAAGGAAGTAAAAATAAATATAAATATAAGATTTTAATAAATATAACGATAAGCAGCAACTTTCTTTTTAATTTGTTCGGTTATAATTATTTGTACATATAAAATACAGCGTAATCATAATGATAATTCAAAAGTATAAGCAAAGCGACTCCATCCTCCGCAAGCAAACTAAAATAGGGACTCGTTGGATATTATATTTTTATCAAAACCAATAATAAATTTTGAAGAAAATGTTATTTGATCGCTACTCAAAGTAGAACTACAGAATAAATAATAGTAGAAGGTAGAACACAGAATTATTGGCTTTTCTTTTGTAATTCTGTTAAAAATTTATAACACATTACAAAATTTTCACAGTTAATATTAACTTATTTTGTCTAAATATTTATTATTTTTAACTGTTGTAGAATCTTAATTTTTTTTTCTTTAAAACTGAAGTCACAAACAAACTTACAGTGAACCTGGTGGTAAGTGGCCACTGCGATCTATGGACACCTGCAGCCAGCTTTAGACAAAGAAGGCTTCAGATTCGTTGTCACCTCCGAAGACAAAGATTGAATACCTCACAGCGTGTAACTATACTGGCTCTCTATATGCTTCAGACCGAAACACGACAGTGCAGGCAATTTTAACCTTTATTGTTAATTCATTAGGTCATACAATTGGGAGAGTGCGCTGATTGCTGAGACACAGGTATAATTCCTAGTTCAGCAATCAGAGACTTCACATATTCTCTGTATAATTATCAATAAAGCTTATTATTAGCAATAGTTAAGAGGGTGGCACCTGTCTAGACTGACTTCTAGGCGAAAAAAGAGTTCTCTCAGAGTCATCACCTAGAAAAGGTTAAGTTAACTTTTATATATATACTAGCTGTTCCCCGCGACTTCGCCTGCGTGGGGTTTTTTGCTCGGTATCCTAAAATAAAAGTAACCTAAGTTACTCCTTATAACATCAGCTATCTGCCAGTGAAAGTCCCATCTAAATCGGTTCACAGGTTTTTGCGTGATGCGTGTTCAGACAGACGTCGTGTTAGAGTTTATTACGTGTATAGCAATATAATAGATAGATAGTTTAGATTGATATAAGCGAAATATCATTGACTGACTGACTCGTAACGAAAAAAATTCTTTATATTTTATATCCGATCGCCCAGCGAAGCGAGCGGGTATCAGCTAGTTTATTTAAAACCAGATTTTAAGAGGATGAGGTTTATTTTCAATTATAACTTATTAAATATTACATGTTATTCTTAAAATAAAAACGTCTACTTATAAACATCCGTTAATCAGATTGATTGTATTCTCTTATAATTATATCTCATGAAAATTACATACAAAGCATTTTCCATCAACTAACAACACTATAAGACCTAACAGTACGAGTATGAGCTAAGCTTAACCTAATACCAATAAGTCTACAAATATTTGTCACAATTAAAATATTTACATGTCTTATTCATAAAGTAGTTATAAACTTTTGCATAATGTGCATTAATATATAAAATGTATTTATTCTTATAATTGAAGTACTTTTTAAATGACTGATTTTAATGATATTATTTAGTTTTCTGTACACAGATATATAGCAATACTTTTAAAGAGAAAACTCAAAGCTAAAAGACAAAATTATAAAAAATATTTTATATTTGTGATGGTAATTACCAATTTTAGTGGTAAAGCCACTTATTCATCTCTAATTGCACGTGTTGTTATTTTAAATTAATAATTAATAAATTATTTTGATCAAAATATATTATATCATATAATTTAAAGATATTTTATAATTTATAAATATATTATTTAATAAAATAGCGTTTTATGTACATCTCTTTGGAACGCATTGCAATAACACACTGACTAGATTTCACTCCACTGAGATTTTCTTTATATTAAAGTTTTTCTCTTATTTCTTTAAAATCTAAAGCACATGCTTAAAATATCGATAAATATAATATATACTTACATAAAGAAAGAACTATAAACTAGTATTCGGTTGTAATATTACGTTAACAATAAATTCACAATAAAGTTGTAATAATATTTCAATCACAAGATTAGAACAAAGTATCAAAATTAAAGCAAGTCACCGCAATCTCATCGATGTATGGCAGTAAAAAGTAATTTGACATGTCTACTTCTTTTGTTATTATATTCAAAAAACTTTAAAATTAACTTATTGGTAATGAATAATTCAAATACACAAACAGTACAAATATGCACTGAATTCGTTTAGTATGTTTTGTTTAGAATGTCTTGGCGATATTAGGTATCGATGTTTTCCGTTTTATTGGGTAAAAAATTTCCAGATTAGATCGGACTAGAATTTACATCAAATAAACCTAAATAAAATTAAAATGACTAGGTATGATTAGAACTGATTTATAGATTCAATACTGAATAAAAACATTAACCAGAAATTACTTTTTATTATTTTTGTTTAAAGCATCTTGTTTTTAAATTTTATAAATAATGACTAGATTTTATATATAAAAAAAAAAACTTTTAAAATGACTAGAACTTTTAAGAGACTATGTGTTAAAAAGACTAATGAGATATTTCATTTCATCTTTAAACAAAAATAATAAATTACTTATTATTATTTTTGTTTAAAGCATCTTGTTTTAAATTTTACAAATAATGACTAGGTTTCATAAAAAAAAAACTTTTAAAATGACTAGAACCTTTAAGAGGCCATATGTTAAAACACTAACGAGATATTTCATTTCATCTTTTAATAAAAATAATAAATTATTTATTATTATTTTTATTTAAAGCATATTGTTTTTAAATTTTATAAATAATGACTAGGTTTCATAAAAAAAAAAACTTTTAAAATGACTAGAACCTTTAAGAGACCAGATGTTAAAACACTAACGAGATATTTCATTTCACTTTTAATAAAAATAATAAATTATTTATTATTATTTTTGTTTAAAGCATCTTGTTTTTTAATTTTATAAATAATGACTAGATTTAAAAAAAAACTTGTAAAATCATTAGAACTTTTAAGAGACCATATGTTAAATAACATTTCTGAAATATTTCATTTCATCTCTGTTACATAATATAAAAATATACAGCCATATTCCCTATAATTAGAAAATGACTTCATTTGTTTTGTGACTAGATACAATTATTAAAATAAAATAAATATATTTGACAAAAACAAAATAACAAATGACTAGATGAAAATAGTAATTGCATTACACTAGAAAAATAACACTAGTAAGCTCTTATGAAATAACAGAAATAATATACTTTTTAATTCTTCTATTTATATTAATAAGACTAGCTGTTCCCCGCGACTTCGCCCGCATGTAATTTAGGTTTTTATTTTTTTTGCGCAGAAACTTATTTCTTTTTATTAAATAAAAGTAGCCTAAGTTAGTCCTTACATCAGCTATCTGTCAGTGAAAGTCCCGTCAAAATCGGTCCAGCCGTTTTCGAGATTAGCCGGAATAAACAGACAGACAGACAAACATTTTAAAAGTTGTATTTTTGTTATAAATACCGTATTTAAGCATATGCATTTAATGAAAAGCTGATATTTTCACATTACAAATAGACACTCCAATTTTATTTATTTGTAGTAGTAGTATAGATTATGGCAACACCATTTTTTATTATATCTCTGTTATTTAAAAAACTATTAAATGTATTCATAGTACTATTGATGACCGCCGAGTTCTAATCTATTTTTGTTACCGACCTAGTTACACGTCGATTGACTTAATTCCGATGTACATTTGCTGAACGTTGAAAAAAATATGAGATAGTCGCATGTCGGACGTTGCATCTAAAAATATGCCCATGCATCGGATCGATTGCGGTGACCCTTCGTGCTTGTTTCAAAGAATCGAAAGCATCTACTCCAAGACGCTTTTGCTAGAAAAACGTATTCTGATTTATTTCATAAAAATATTTCCTTTTGTTTGTAATTTGAGTTCAATAAAAATGTGATTAAACTACGTTTAACATAATATTATGGATATAAATTTAATATTATGGATATAAATATATAAACAAAGAAACTAGTTTGTTTACATATGTAGTAAATTCTAATTTTGTATATTATGTTAAAATAATAAAACTATTTAATTAACTGCCACAATAGTGCTTAAAACTTAAATTCGAAGCAAGATTTAATTTTGCGTTATTAAACAAGATATTAAGAAATGTTTAACATTTCAGTGTAATAATAATTTGGAATGTTGCTGTAGGAGCTCAATATGTACAGAATAATTTACTTTAAGATAAAATTATTTAAAAAACGACAATAACTTTACAAAGTACAAGTACCTATATATACAAAAGTAGAGTTTAACTTTACGACGTATACATGCAATGACTATAACAACATATATCTATGACTATATAAATAAATACTCACTTTAGAGCTTTACGAAAAGTACATACGCGGAGTTTCATGTCCATACGTAGTTGGGTAATGGTAGAGAGTGCTAGGGACAGGATAAGGAAAACGCGGCACGGGCCGCAATATACGTCGTCAGCCATCGTCGATCCCGCCGCCTTCGTCTTCCGAACCCGTCACGTCAAGGCTCCGAGAGTCTTCTGAGGAACATGGGGAGGTGCATCTGCCTCGCACATCCTCCCAGGCCAACTCTTGTTGCAGTGGTGGTATTTTGTTCCAGAAAGTGTTGAAATTGCTGTCCCGACATGGTTCCTAAATAAAAAAAATTCGTCTTACTTTTTGGAAAAGTATTTTTTTTTGCATTGTTTCGTAATATGGAATAGTAGTAACTAATGAGTGGTATAACATAAAAAAATAAATAAAATAAAAAGTAGTACAATTTGTTTTTAGATATATTAGTATTTTGATATTTTAATGGCTTTCGACAGATAGCGATGATGTGGATGTATGGATGTTTGTTACTCTTCTACGAAAAAACTAATGAATATATTTTAATGAAACTTTACAATAATATAGCTCATACATCAGAACAACATATAGGCTATAATTAACGAAGATATTGTGTAAATTGTTCAAAATATGTGTGTGTGTTAATATGTCGGAAAAAATCTGTCATCTGCGAATTATTTTAGCGTGTGGTGCAAAAGCTGTAAAGAATAATTGGTTTAAAGTATAATATCTACGCGGACGAAGTAGCGGGCAAAAGCTAGTACCCAATATGGCACTGAGAGGCAGCGTAAAAGATGCGAGATTTGTTGTAAAGAAGAGGAATTTACTACTATTTAATAGAAAATTAAAATACCATTCCTTTAATCGGTATAAAAATAAAAAGTCTCACCGTTTGATAAGCAGGATATTCTGCATGCACCTGACGAAAAGCTGATGGTTCTTTTTCGGCTTCGGTTTCTGGCTGTTCGTGAGCCAAAAGATGTTTTCTCAAGTAGGCCTGTCTTCGGAACAGTTTACCGCAACGTTGGCAGGGAAACCGACCAGCGTCACTCGCAGGTGGGTCCCGTCGCTTGGCCGCTCCTGGCACGCGTGGTTTATGCCAGCGTCGGTGCGAAGCCAAGTTCGCAGGACAGTTGAATACCTATTAAAAAGGTTCTATTTTTAAATAGTTTTAACGTTGTAGTTAGTGACTTGTGGGCCTGAAGCAATTTATTATTAAAAATGTTTTTGAAAAATATTTTATTTATATATTATAGGAAGTCCTGCACCTGTGACCATAATCAAGCAAGTGAACATTTTTTTATTATATTAGCTTCCAATATTTGATTATAACGGCTGCCGACATAAAATAACTGATGTCGTCGAAGGTATTTGGCAAAACACGCCATAAAAATGCTACGATGTATGTTGAAAATGGTTGTACCACTTCTGACATTCTATATTAGGACTGCAACATGAATGAAAGGAACACAAACCAGCATGATAAAACGTAATGCTTGTGGGTTTCGTATGTAATTAACGGGAACCTATTTACTGGTAACGGGACATTCTATTTTAACCCTTAGATTTGATAAGGCACCTGCAATTTGAACCTTTATCGAGCATAGATGTAGAATGTAGATGTCAATTAGAGGATGTAGAACCGGCCTTATGAAACCGGATTTTTTGCTTTCGGATCGAGAACAAAACCGGGTACCCGGTTCTTTTCGGTTCTAAAAGTCAGGAGGACATTATGAAGTAAAACAATGTATTAATCATTATTGCACTGTGGAACATATTTAGAATCTTAATTAATCACATTCGAAAACTTAAATCGGTTTAATTTCTAATAAAATAAAAATTAATAATAATCTAGTTATATGTTTTTAGGTTAGGACTTAGACCACCTGCATCCATCGTCTTACCAGGTCGTCACTCCATTTAGTAAGGTTTGGCCATGGCAATGCAGTGGGCATTTAATTACCAAAACATAGACTGTATACTCATTTGTCACCCTTACGTGTAGAATAATTCACATTGACATACAAATAACGAAGAATTAAATTCGAATTTGTGACTACTTTTTAGTTTAAAAAAATACAATTTTTTTAAAAATATATATATATATATATATATAGGTATATGTAATTGTTCTCCCATCAGTCGGGATAACCGCTAAGTGTCGCTAGTCACGCATCATCTAACGTATCAATTAAGGTGTAAAAACATTTCGCCAGCTCTCGAGGGCGTCGCTTCCCATGGAAACGTGCCAAGTGTTTACAATTGCGGCAGAACGAGGGGTCCTAATACGTTCCCACACAGCATGGTTGAAATTATTTTTGTTTTTTTTTTTTTAATGTTCCAAAGGTTTTCAAACGAGTAAGAGATAAATAACCCATTATAAAATAATTTGTTTCTGTCAATTTGAAGGGGTTATGTATTTGTTTATTATTAATGAATGCGAGAGAGATAAAGTGATTATACTGACAACTATCAGCGATACATATTAAAAATGATAGTAGTATCTGTTTCGATTAAAAGATGGTTATTATAATTCATTTATCCTATTAAAATCCACTGCCAAACACAGGCCTTCCCTATATACTGCCTCATGGGGGGAATTTTTTTATAGGATAAGGATGACAAACGAGCACACCGTCCAACTGATGGTAAGTGGTTGCTGTGGCCCCTAGACATCTACATCTATCCTCGATTACAAATCAAACTGCAGATGCGTTGTCAACCGTGAGGGCTACGATGGAATGTCTCGTTTCCAGTAAAAAGGGTCTCCGGTTCTCTACACTCTCACACACACACACACACAAAACACAACAGCGTTAAGCTGCTATTTTACGCCGGTATTCTGTGAGAGCGTGGTCCTTCCCAGGTCGAGCCAACCCATTCGTGCAACAACTATACCACTAATATAGCTTCAGCATGGCATGGCATATCACGTTATTTGCCATAGTTGCCATGTTTGGCAGGCGAGTTGGCAACCCCAGTGTTTCTTTTTATTTTAAGTTGTTATCAGTTGCTGCTGTCCGATCTCCTGTTTTAGTTTCCCTTTGTCGTCTCTTATGACACGACATGGCATATTATATTTACAAGGAGGTGGTATAGTATATCTACGTTTGTTGACCCTTAAAAATAAATTATGTTAACAATTTACTTAAAATTTTGTATTTTATCCATTTTAGAACAACTTCATAGTGGTAAAAAAAATGGCTTTCCCGTGAAATGTTCTCGCAAAATAATTTAAGTATTTTATAAGAAAATTAAATTACTATATTTGAGCATTGTAACACACTTAATTTTTGTTACTCTCACCCACTTTTGTGTTACCATCACACACACACCATTGTAATAATTAAAAATTAAAAATTATGTACCACTCACTTCAATATAAATTATTAAGGATAACTCAAAAACTATTTGTCAGACATTGATCAAATTTATATAAGACCACATGAGAAGCACCAGCTTTCAAGTAAAAAAAAAAAATCATCGAAATCGGTACACCCAGAAAAAAGTTACGAGGTAACACACAAAAAAAGAACATACAGTAGAATTGAGTACTTCCTCCTTTTTGATGTCGATAGAAAAAGTCAGTGAGCTCACCTTGTCGCACTCCGGACATCGATATTCTATATGTACAATTCGGGAACACCGATGTTGAGCCAAAGCGAACGCATCGCTGTAGAGTCTACGACAGAGTCGGCAAATGTAGCGACCCAGTCTGTTTTCTATATTAGCGATTAAGGCTTTAGCTTCTTCTGTCACTTCCACTACATTAAACGCTGGGTCTATGTCGCCCTAAAACAGTAAATATTCGTGTTTTAAAAAAAAAAGGAAGTGTTCAAGATTTTTATCATTGTCGTCATTGCTAAGATTATTCGCTGATTCCATGTTATTTGGAGGTGTTTTGTTGTTATTTAATGGATCATTATAGTGTATGCATCTAGGTTAAAGAAATAAGAGATGGTTTGAAGCTAAGAAACCGTGATTTATTTCGTATTTAATGTCCTTAACGCCACCCCTTTAGCTACCGTTGCGACTCGCCCCAAAACCTATAATTAGCGTAAACACAACACAATACGCGATTTCATAGCGTTTAATTGCCGAAGCGATAAGGAAAGTCGCCAACCCACAGTAATGGCATGGTCAGAACGGCTAATTAACAGTTCCTTGGCAATTTTATTATTTATTTTCGATACGAATACACAATGAAGCATGTGCCGTACTGTTTATTGTTCACTTTATTTTGTCACCCTATAATAGTTAGTTAGTAGACGTGGGTCTCTCGCATAATAGAGAGCGTTTGATTGTTTTTAATTATTATTGTCTATGGTTATACCGCCATCTGTCGGAAGTTATAAAAAGTTTTGGCATGTTCTATAGTCACCTCTCATGTCACCCACTGGAAGAAATGGGGTGACACATTCTCTTAGGTTGGAGTGGTGGACACAGCAGCGCGCTTACTGTTGCTATATGATAATAAATAATATGATCTATATTCAATAATTTACCTTTCGGACAACTAACGTTTCGTCCTCAGCTAAATCACGAATGATTGTTCCGGAAACAGGTGATGTTTTATCCTCATCAAACATTAATCTCCTTACTGCTTTACTCTTTTTCAACGGTTGTGGAGGTTTTGGTGATTTCTTCGGCCGTTCTTCAACATCCTTTATTTCGACTATATCAGGGGAACTTCTCTCGCTTTTGGAAGAGGTTTCCGGTTCTGCTGGGAGACATGTACGCAACTCTTCGAAAAATTGTTTCGTAAATTTTAATTTCTTTGCTTCGGGACTATCGCTATCGTTTGAATTATCCTCATCACATTTTCTCTTGTGTGACTTATCATCGTCAATACTTTTTGTTTCGCTATCTTCAAAATGTCTGAATATTTTTGGAGATTTTATATGTTTTTGATCACCAGACAACTTTCGCTTCTGCGCAGGTGGAGGTGTACACGGAGGAGTAATCGGAGATGTTGATTTGAGTGATAAATCAAGAGGCATTAAAGGTTCATTATAATATGCCAAATATTGTTGTAGAAGGCTTGGGTGCTGCTGAGGTAGAAGTTCGTGTAGGTAATTGCTTGATATGCGAACAGGAGGAGCGGCATATTGTTGATAGAACCGCGATGTCGTCAGCCGATGAAAATGAGGTAGAGTTGCTTCCATAATTAGGACTTTTATCTCAGTAGATCATCTTTAAGTAATGTTTTCATCTTTGTTAGATTTTTACTGTCTGAAACAAAATAAAATGCATTTATTTAAGAATAACACACACACACACACACACACACACACACACACACACACACACACACACAAACTTATAAGTATAGACAGCGAACAAAGAAAGAATATAACGTGGAAAACGCGTCCCTTCAATAGTGTTAGAGTGGTCCATTTCGCTGATTGTAACAACTTTGTGATAGAAAATTGCTCTTTTGATGTTATTTTTCCTAATCACGTTTCTATATTATGGATGGTATAAAAAAGTGTAAAACTTAATTATACACGTTAAGCGAATTATTACATTAATGAAAACAAAGAGTTGCTTAAATGCAAAACAAATATTTTTGCTATCAGTTGATGAAGAGAATTAATTGTGCAATATACTTAAACGTTTTCCTTGAAAAATTTCTATAGCACTAGAAAACGTCGATACTATGTACGTTACGACTAAAGTAAGTTTGAAGAGAATTTTGAGTGTTGTTAGAATTTTTGTATAATTTACTTTAAGTTGAATATGATAATTTTCGTTTGTAGAGATATTTCAATAATTTTCATCTCAAAAGACCTAGAACTTAAGGAATTATTGTATGGCAATAATATTCCTTATATACAAACAAGAAAGAAAATAAACTATGTATCCATCCATTACAGCCTATAAAAGTTTGCCATAGTTGCCATGCTTGGCGGGCAGGTTTGCAACCTTAGTTTTATCATTTTGAATTGTTATCACGAAGATGCTGCTATCCATATCCTGATTCAGTTTCCCTCTGTCGCTTCTTACGATACCCTCAGGACTATATGGGGTCGTAGATATTTTAACACCACCCGTACACGGTGTAAACTAAAATGAAATATATATTGGAAGAATGTTTATTATATATCTACTATATTGTTGGGAATGAAGGTAAAAAAATAAAAGGAAATACGAACAAATGAAGGTAGAATGGTAATCTCCCACTTGTTTTAGCAGTATAAAGTATCGCACAGGCGGCTAAAAGGATCAATCCCTAATTCTAAGAGCCCCACTGTCGTTACTATGCCCGTTGAGGTATTCTACTAGTATAGGCAAGGAAGGTCATGTTGCTGAGAGGCTGCCCTGTGTTACATTGAGATGGGTAGTGATGCTGTTGGTTTGCATACTTTGGTGTTATCATGTAATTGGGGTTCTGATAGTAAGCAGGGCTTGTTACCGAGTAGTGTCCTTTTATTTAAATACTTTGGAGGATAATTTCTAACATCAGAAGTGGCATAGTTTGTTACAATATGATATTTGTAAGGATTAATCACATTCGCATATCTTGACAGTAAATATTAATCGACATTATCTTTATATATAAAAATTACGTGTCACGTTGTTTGTCCGCGATGAACTCCTGAACTACTGACCTGATTTCAATGAAATTTGCACACTCTGTGTAGTTTGGTCCAACTTGAGAGATAGGATAGTTTTTATCCTGATAAGTGAAACTCAATATTTTTTTATTACTAATTTAAAGATTTTTTATATGAAGGGTCGTCGAAAAGGGCAGAACAACGTCTGCCTGGTCAGCTAGTAAGTACTATATAAAAAAAAGCTGCATAACTAACTTGCAGCAGTCGCCATGACAAGGTGATAGTGTGGTCAGACTAAGCCTAGCTCACATCCATTTTACAATTTAAGTACCTCAAGCGACCACTGTTAATTTACTACTGCCAATTAATTTACAGTAAGCTGTGGTTAAAGTATACATAGCCAATTTGAAATGTCGTGCATAATAACCCATTTAAACGCTTTTAAGTTGTCGCGTTTGTTTAGTGCCTTGCAGAGGCACGAACTGATAAATTTCATAACATTATGCGCAATAAACATCTCCCTTTGCATTTTGATGCATGACGCAGCTAGAGTGAATAGCGTAATAAAGAAATTCTGCATTAAACTTTCACTTTAATATTTGACAGCTCTGACGAAAATCTGTAACGAGGATATTTACAGAATAACAAGATTAGGCTGAAGTGGCCGTAGATCCGCCATTAAGGCTCGAAGACTCGACAATTGATGAGGAACAAAGGTTCTCGAGTGGCCTATTCTAGGTGGAGGATCGCATATAATGACAATGGTCTTATCTTGGGAATAATTATTGCAATATTTTTTTCCGTAACTTATGAAAAACTGGATTATCTTGATTTTTTTTATACAGTGAAGGTGATAAGCGAGTACACAGTCCACCTGATAGTAAGCTGATGCAGCGGCCCATAGACATCTACATCTATCCTCGATTAAGAACTGAACTACAGGTGCGTTTTAATCTCTGACAACTAAGTTGGAATGCCGCGTTACCTTTAAAAAGGGTCTCCTGTTCTCTACACTCATCAGACAAACAAGCATTATTCTACTGTTTTACGCTGTTATTCTGTGATAGTATGATCTTACCCCGGTCGAGCCGAAGTGCCGTTAAAGTGCCGAGTCAAGTTAAAATTGACTTGTTATTGTATAGTATTGTAAGTAATACACAATAACTGATGAGTAGTACAGTGGCATAGCGTTTGGTTATAGTGCTGTGGGTCGCGGCTTCAATTCCCAAATGGTATTAAAAATAATTAATTCGTGCACAAAAATAATCACCCCTGTCTAGGTGTTACACGTAGAAAATTCAAATATGTATGAATGTAATTTTTTTAAATAATAAAAAGGAAGTCAAAAATAGATCTTACAAGTTTTCATAATATGTACCAGTAAATTTTACTGTCTCTATTTTAGCGTTAATTGCAAACACAGTATAAATAAATAAAGCATTACATTGTGGTTGGATTACTTTGACAAGTTTAAATGCGACAGCGTAATCTCATGGCAACGAGGGAAAATAGTCGCACCCATGTTACCTAATTACTGTCGCTGAGATCGCGGCTCCCACGCTCGCCCCCGACTGACGCAGTGACGCCCCTGCACGGGGGACATAAATGAAATGCGTCGCCTTTTTCCCTTTATACTTATTTGGTTTTGAGCAAACATCGTGCATAATAGCATTTTATCTCCATAATGATTATAATAACTTTAAATAAATATATCATCAGCAAATTAAAAAAAAATCCATTGTAATTTAAAAGAAAATTATATTTTCCAATAATTTTGTCAAATATTTAATTTGAGTTGCATATTATTCGATTAAGCCCCAGTAATTTATATATAAGATGTTTTTAAATAATGTGAGGTTGTAGTTGAAACTATTCATTAAGGATATTTTATTTTTAAAACATTGAACAGATATCTCACTGAGTCTCTCTACATCAGAAGGAATTCAAAACGTAAATATCAGAACATTTTATGGTTTGAACTTTTATCAATTCTTAATATGACTGTTAAAAAAAAACAATTTATATACCCAGTTACTAAATGGAATAGGAAATATTGTTTTTTTCTGTTATAATAAATTTAGGGAGGTACCCAAGAAAACTGATTGAAAAGGTTTTTGGGCGGACTGAATTATTTCTATTCGATGACGACGTTGTAGGCGGAGCGCGCCGAAAACCGTCTTTTCTATTATTAAGTAAAATGATGTGAAATGAAAATGTACAGAATGGTATTGAAATCAATAAGTACATAATTATTTTAAAATTTATGTCATTACAAAATATCGAACACTCACAAATGTTTTCACTGATCTCATATAATATATTTTTAACAAAGAGAAAAATATTAATATAGGCGATATATCAACGATATGTGTTTAACTGGTAGAGCGATGCTGCAGCTATGTCAGTCGTATAGTTGTAGCACGAATGGGTCGTCTCGACCGGGGAAAGACCAAGCTCTCACAGAATACCAGCGTAAAATAGCAGCTTAACACTGCTGTGTTTCGTATGGTGAGTGTAGAGAACCGGAGACCCTTTTTACTGGGAAAGGGGCAATCCATTTTAGTCCTCACGGCTGACAACGCATCTGCATTTTGATTCTCATACGAGGATAGATGTAGATGTCTATGGGCCACAGCAACCACTTACCATCAGGTGGACTGTGTGCTCGCTTGTTACTGCCAAAAAAACTGGTGGGGCTCCTCTTCTGGCCAGGCGTTTACCTATCCGTCTGGATAGGTAAACGACCTCTTAATACCTATTTCTGATGCTATATAACAGACTTATCACTTCTATGTTCTGCTCAGAAGAGACTATAGACCTAGTACAATTACATACTGTAAGGCATTCCATCTTAGTCCAAGATGTGTCAGCGCAAGTGTAGCCTTATTTGTATGAAATAAAAAAATGTAATGAAGATATCAGAAGCATCATCACTACTTGTACCAATTTTTTTTTGTTTGAGTGCAATAAAGAATTTTCTATCTATCTATCTATCTACTTTCATATCATCTGCATAAAAACAGAGTAGAGTTTTCTACGCGGTAGAGCCATGCTGCAGCTATATTATGGTGCTAGCACGAATGAGTCGGCTCGACCGGGGAAGGACCACGCTTTCAAAGAAAACCAGCGTAAAATAGCAGCTTAACGCTGCTGTGTTTCGTATGGTGAGTGTAGAGAACCGGAGACCCTTTTTACTGGCAAAGAGGCATTCCATCTTAGTCCTCACGGGTGACAACGCATCTGCATCTTGAGTCTTTACTGAGGATAGATGTAGATGTCTATGGGTCACAGTAACCACTTACCATCAGGTGGACTGTGTGCTCGTTTGTCACCCGATCATATAAAAAAAAATAACTATGGAAAAATGGAAAATACTTGAAAGACTTTATAATCATTAATTAAACGAGTATAATATTAAATTGAAAAATTTAAAACCACCGAAACAAAAAGTGCTCATGATATTCAAACCGTTGAAAAGATTTTCTTGAAGCATAGCTAAAAACACTCTCGATAAAGTCACCTATCAAACAAAAAAAAATTAAATCGGTTTCTTTTGGGAGCTACCATGCCAAACAGATATACAGATACACAGATAAACAGATACACAT